CCCCCCCTCTTTTCTAACACCAACCCAGGTTCTTTGACTCCCTGACAAGGATTCTCTCTTCTACCTTGAATAGGGAGGGTCAACGGCACCAGTTTGTAGTAGGACTAGGAATAGAAATAGAAATAGGGATAGAAATAAAGTGCTGTCATAGTCCGAGTTTCCTCTGGCCCTAATCATTAACACAAGACTTAGACTTTTTGACATATAGAGTTCTGGTGTGGGGCCAGAGCGCACTGCTATATGAAAAGGTGGAATTCTCCGACACCGTTTGGTATCGGGGAGTGACAAATCAACAAAAAAAGACAACATTAAAAGATCTGAAAATAATTCTGTATATATATTGTCAACAGACTGAAAAACATGCAAAACCATACTGCATTATCGACCCATTGTATTCTCACAGTCATCTGTATATGAATCATGACCAGCAGATGTTACTAATCCGGTCTAATGCCTTTATATCAGCAAATGTAAAGCTGTAAAAATAATGTATTTGCTGTCTTCAAATCAATCGTAAAACTTCCCAGGAACAGTAATTGTAATGAAACTCTAACTTTCATTTTTTTACTCTGATTTGCACTAATCTAATTACAATAGTTTTATAGCCAATATGAGACAGAACTTCTGGTATTGCTTTCTTCATCTGTTGAGTAAATTCTTATCCATACAATTAGCTCAAGTTCGATATCGCCATCAATATTTATGGATAATTGTCAAACTATGAAACTTCAATGTAATGTGCTTGGTTGTGGCTTTATTATTACCCAGCATGGACTGATTGCCTGATAATTCAACAGTGACGAAAAACATGGAACAACATTTTTTGGTTTTCAATACATTAAAGTGTCAAACAACATTAAAAGATCTGAAAAGAATTGGACAAAAGGTCTTTTAGTTAAATCTTTCTATCATAAGATGTCTTTGAAGTAAAAAAAGGACTGCTATATATAGAACTGATTATGATACAATGATTTCAATTTCAAATTTACAATACTCAATTTCTTGTACATTGTACTTTTTTTGAAATTTGTTTCACAGATCCACACTGGGTTGCAACATGGCATAATTTCGCCCCCTCAACCTAATGCCTTGCCAAGGGACAGTCCCATTCTGCCAGACAAGATGAGGGAGGCTGGATACTCCACACACGCTGTAGGAAAATGGCACCTGGGTTTCTACAAGGAGGAATACCTCCCCAACAACAGAGGTTTTGACACATATTATGGTATGATACATTTCAATCAAGTACAAACAAATTGAGAATGAACATTTTCTATTTAGGGGATAGAAACTTGTTTTGAGTGGCTATACTGGCGAATAGAACATGAAATTTGGTTTGAACTCGAGACTGATAGGTGGAGAGTTTAAACCAAATTTCATGTTCTAATCGCCAGTATAGATACGAAAAACAACGTACTATCACCATTCTAACACACCTTAACAAATATGATACGCTAATTATATATGTTTAGACACATTGTATTTCTTTGCTACAAGTACCTAGTAAAGCACTCTGTGACCTGTGCTGGCGATGTATCATTCTGCAGTGGACTGACCTATCGGAAAGAAGCTTTCAAAAGTCGGTCATTTGGCCCCGCCCATACTGGCATGTTGACGAGGTGGAATATTTGGATTGTTCATGAACGTCCTATTACCAAAGTTTATACAACACATTTGGATTACTATTGACCAAATTCTTACATTTCCATGTTAGTATGTATGCCAATCTGTGCGTATCGACAAAATTGGTGATTATTTGTTTAGATCTGTGAAGAGTTTTGTGCAAAATTTATGCGATACATGTATGTGAAATGTTTCATTTGATTTCGGATCTAAATAGATGCCTACACACGGATAGAACAAGCGTTTCAGTAATAAATGGAGGTATTAAGAACAAGGAATGTTAACCTTTTACTTTTTAGTTTATTCAACAAATACATTTCATCGGTCCTTTCTGTTCTGTTGCCTGCTAGCCTTATCAGCAGGATTTCACTAAGAGGCGAGCTTGACGCCATATTGTTTTGGTCAGAGATGGGGCGTGGCTTAAGTACGATGGGAGGAGCTTTAAACGATTGATCATGATTCTATCTCAGATTAGAACATGGTCCATATCCAATCAAAGCATGCGTTGCAAACAAATCGTGTTAGAATATTGATGAAAATATGTGATTTACAATTAGCTTGGGGATTATCATTCATTTTCAGTGTTTTCTGTGCAGAACAAAAGCATACTTGTGTTTACAGTAATAAATGGCTTTAAATGGACAAAATCATCTGTCTTTTTGTTCATTCATCTTCAACAATATTTTTTCTGCTTCATTACTTCACTATTTCTAACTCATCTTCACTAATTAAAAGTTCTTGTCATACTTGTTTTCATTAGTGCTGAATATCAATATATGATCAGATCTATGATTGATGTAAAATGCATACTGAACTCATTGTACTCAATAAAATGTATACTGTTAATAAAGAACAATTGTTGAAATGCATTTATGGTTACATGAACTTGTCAGAGAGATATCGACTGAGACGAAGGTCCATATTACGAAATATTCACCAAAATAAAGTCAATATTTGTTCCCTTAGATTTATGACATGATGCTGTTTATAATAAATAAACAAAATGGAACATGAAAAAATTGTCAAGAAGCAATTGGAGAGATCTTTATGACCATACAAATGAAATGATAACATTCAGAGAATATTGACCTGCTGTTTCTAAATCTGGTAACACCAAGTTGATATCACAACTCACAGACCTGCATGCACATAATTATGATCCAACCAATTAGGATGTTTGAAAATTTGTGTCCTCTAATATTAGATGTCAATGACGGTAAGCCTATAAATAATTACTACATGTACTTAACTATAATTACGTACCTGCAAAGTCACTTGTATTTGAGCATATTAACCTACAAACAATCTCTGTTTTTATTTACATTCATAGTTTTTGTCATTTATAATTATAACAGGTTATTTGACGGGAAGTGAGGATTACTACACAAAATCACGGTGCTCTGGACACAACTTTTGTGGGAAAGATTTAAGAGATAATTTTAAGCCTGTCGAACCAAATGCAAATGAATATTCAACGGAGATGTATAGCAAGCGTGTCATAGACATTGTCAACAACTACAACTCCTCCCAGGTAAGGCCACACTATAACTGAAAAAGGAAACAAATTAATACAATGTTTAAAATGACTTACAAGAATAACAAAAACAGAAGAAAATGTGTTTTCAATAAAATCCTTCTATTTCACTTTCAATAGTTTCATATAGTAATAGACTTGCCTGGACTGTAAACAGCAACAGATGGGATAGAAATACCATTAACGTTGTTATATTTTGGATTACAGAATATTATTTCTGAAATGATTATTTAATCATATTCTGTACATATTGTCAACAGACTTATATATATATTGACACATTGTATTCTCACAGTCATCTGTATATGAATCATGACCAGCAGATGTTACTAATCCAGTCTAATGCCTTTATATCAGGAAATGTAAAGCTGTAAAAACAATGTATAGATCTGCTATCTTCAAATCAATCAAAAAACTACCCAGGAACAGTAAATATAATGAAACTCCAGCTTTCATTCTCTGATTAGCACTAATCTAATCACAATAGTTTTTTAGCCAATATGAGACAGAACTTCTGGTATTGCTTTGTTCATCTGTTGAGTAAATTCTTATCCATACAATAAGCTTATAAACCCTCTCTTTCCATATGATTTCCTTGTAACTTTTTACAGTTTACCACAAGCTGAAAGAGTTTAACAATATGAATCAGACATCAATACAATATTTTTTCAGAGTTATTGCCCTTTGACTACTACAAGCATTACAAAAATCATGCTGAAAAATATTCCATGTTTCCACCTTTTTTCCTTTATATGATATAATTATCCTCATCATTCATTATTGTGCACATGTATCAGCTATTATATTGATACTGTAATTAGTTACAGAGTAATTACCCCTTTTATTATTTTGAGCATTGTTTATCCCATTAACAGTAAGCACTCACTTTAAGTACAATTTCTTTAAAAGTAAGATTTATTGTCAGTTATGTACATATCCTCATCCTTGTTTGTCAGACGCTTTGATTTGGTGTTCATTTACAGAGTTATTGCCCTTTGAAAACTTAAAAGTGTAACACTAAACAGTTGAATTAATCAGGACAACAAGTCTCTTTGTTACTGTACTATTTCCTTGAAAAATGATAGCTATAAACAGTATAAAAACACAAGCGAGAGATCGTAAATGTGAGGGCAGAGAGATCGTAAATGTGAGGGCAGAGAGATCGTAAATGTGAGGGCAGAGAGATCGTAAATGTGAGGGCAGAGAGATCGTAAATGTGAGGGCAGAGAGATCGTAAATGTGAGGGCAGAGAGATCGTAAATGTGAGGGCAGAGAGATCGTAAATGTGAGGGCAGAGAGATCGTAAATGTGAGGGCAGAGAGATCGTAAATGTGAGGGCAGAGAGATCGTAAATGTGAGGGCAGAGAGATCGTAAATGTGAGGGCAGAGAGATCGTAAATGTGAGGGCAGAGAGATCGTAAATGTGAGGGCAGAGAGATCGTAAATGTGAGGGCAGAGAGATCGTAAATGTGAGGGCAGAGAGATCGTAAATGTGAGGGCAGAGAGATCGTAAATGTGAGGGCAGAGAGATCGTAAATGTGAGGGCAGAGAGATCGTAAATGTGAGGGCAGAGAGATCGTAAATGTGAGGGCAGAGAGATCGTAAATGTGAGGGCAGAGAGATCGTAAATGTGAGGGCAGAGAGATCGTAAATGTGAGGGCAGAGAGATCGTAAATGTGAGGGCAGACATAATTATGTACCTAAAAGGAATTGTTGTTGACACATATTAAGTGCTTGCATGGTAATCGTACAACTTTGATTTCAAGCTGTGTAATTTTCATGTCATGTAAAATATTCTTTCATATTGATGAACTGAGTGGTAATTTTTATGGTTCTAAAAAATGAAGATAACTCAATGAAAGTTACATGTAGACAGTAATTGTAGGACGGCAAGGCAGTGTGTCAAATGCCAAGTTTGGATCTGTAAGCCCAAGGTCAAAGTCACATCGAGGTCAAAGGCCAAATTTGTCCTGGCCAGGATTTATGATTCTCTGAAGATAATGAAATTTGAGGGATATATGTAAGATAACAAGGTGGTTTGTTACATACTTATTAAGGGTCTGTACACTCAAGGTCAAGTTCACATTGAGGTCAAATTCATTGTCCAGGCCATAACTTCTGATTAGCAGAAGGTAGCTGAATGAAATTTTAGGGATCAATCAAGGATGGAAAGGGTGTGTGTTGTATACTATAAAGCTATCGTTAGGTCCATTAGTGTTCCACTATGAGCATTAATATGTCAAACTTCAAGGTCAAAGTAGTTAACTGTGTAGTCATTTCAATGCATTAAAGACAGGATGCTTGCATGGTTTAATTAACAGTATTTGGCTTGGTTGAAGTACTATTAAGTTTGTTCAAACAAAGGACACAATTGATCCGCTGGTCTCATTGTCACACTTTGAGCCTTTATCTTTTCCTTTTTTACCGTTTAATCTACAAGTTTTATATTTTGTGTAATTCTTATAATTCATCTACCATTTTGCCGCAATTAGCACTCCTCCCACTATAAGCTCCCCCCTTTTTGGGAGGAATTGATACTATATAGACTCTTTCCCAGACCTGACCAGACCCAATCAATGATTAATAGTGCTTAGAGATTTATGTCTGGTGATCATGCCTGGACCTCCCGTAAAGCATGAAGCAGATGAAATTTTGATTTCCAAACCTCCAGCCACACTGAAATGTTTAAAGTGTCCTTTTGTGATAACAACTTGTTGAAGTTGCCCAAATTTTTATATTGACATAACTCATATTATATTTTGGCCAATTGTTAGAGTGCCCTGGGCACTACATTGTGTATCTATGGTGAATATGTTGCATGTACTTGTTTACTAATATGCTACCTTGTGACTCTGTATGAGGTTCTCATGTTGGTTCTTAAGGCTTTTAACAACTAAATAGATAAGGAAATATGATCAGTGCAACTTGAAGATCTGTTTTGATGTGGAAGGAAAAAAGCATCAGTTTGATTTCTACATGTCTTTTGCAGCCAATGTTTCTGTACCTAGCATTGCAAGCTGTCCATATGCCACTAGAAGTTCCAGCAAGGTACAAAGAAAAGTATGCTCACATTAAAAACCACGACAGGCAAACATATGCAGGTCAGTACTTTTAATGGAATTTGATATGAAACATAATGGACTTGAGCAAAACTTTTTCTCAAAATCAATATCTGCAATACAACTGATACATGAAATAAATCATGTTTACACAGAAAGTTGCATACATAACAAATAGCCTAGGTTATAACTCGTTGATGTTTATTTGTATATGAACCTGATTAAGTAGTATTTCAGTTTTTTCCAAAAAATATTCAAGTTAAATTTAATACAGCTGGGGTCAATCACCTCTATGTAAAGACTTGCCTATGCATCTATTATTTTAAACCAGAGGAACTTTGCTGAGGTTGTCGTTGATCATGAGTTTTAATTGTTTGCCTTGTTTTTTGGTGGGTTTGTTTTTGCATTAAACTAAGCTAGGATCATGGTTAGGTAATTGGGATTTAAATTTGGTTAAAATGTTTGGCGTGTAACTGATTAGACATATATGTACCCCATTAAGGGTCTAAAATAGAGAAAATACTAATTGTAGTTTTGGTTCCCTGGACTCCAGGGAGCCAGATGGTTTAGCCAAAACTAAAGCTAAGAATTATTCCTTTCGGTAGTAGAAAGGTATTACAATGTACGATTATAACTTGGGTTGACTGAATACTGCTTAATTAGTTCATTACAGTAAACTCTACGCAATGTAATTAGAAAAAATAATAAATAACAGAGCTTTGCAATTTTATAAGTAAAACGGTTCTGGTAGAAGTATTACAATGTTTTTCTTGCCGATAGCAATCATATCTCATATAAAGACTCCAGTGACTATGAAGGCATTTTGTACGAATTGTCACCAAATCTGTTCGGCTGAGGAATGACATCTTTTTTAAGAGTTTATAGTCATTTCCTTTATTTAGTTCTCACTTAATTGATTGTTGCAGACATAGTGTAGATGATAAAATATATGAAAACATCACACTTACCTACCTACATCATGTACACTACCTCTTTGAGCTCATCTACAAATAAAACCAAAATTGTATCAGCTGGTATCACCACTTTTTCTGTCTTTAGCCCTACTCTCTGACACATTTCTTTGTTTGCATTTCTTTCTGGGTCTGCCCCTTTTCAAAGTACACAGAATACAACTGAAACACATAATAAATAATCAGGTATACATTGAAAGTTGCAAACATAGTTAATAGGCTAGGGAACATCGTTTTGGGTATTCCCTTTTCCTCTTTTCAGAATCCACCTAAATATTGTTCTTTTTTGTGATGTTGCTGTCAAATTTTTCAAAGCACTTACTTGATCAATCACCGTCTCCTAACATTGATTTCTGCTTTCAGCTTTGTTTAGTAGTTTGTTGTCTTGTCAGGTATTCAACTAAGTACGATATTTGTATTTGACAGTAGATTTTGCAAACCTTTAGCAGCAGGTTTTGTGGAATGCACATAATTTGTTAAATTCTGTTCGATTTGCCCCCCAACATTGCATTCCATACAACAGCTACAACAGCACTGATCCTAATTTTGGAGCTACAGAATCTCCTCTTTGTTTTAATATTCAATTAGTTGTCTTAAAATTCCAGTTCTTTTTTTCGCCTGACACCAGCTGCTGATAAATGGGAAATGTCGTCAGAAGAGTCCTCCATAATAGAAATAATGGTCCATCTTGCACTAGTGTTCTCATATTCTACAGTTGTTCCCATACATCGATCACCCTCAAGAAGAGAGAAGGGGAAGTCACAAGTCCTTGTCTCACACTAGATTTCCCTGAGAACGATTATGGCCTCTGGCGAATTCGAGGACATCATTAAAACAGTCTTTGAAAAATCCAAACATTGCACTGGTATGCTGTATATTAAAAGAATCACCCATGTGCCACCTATTACTGTGCTTGATTATATTCCTAATGACGACAATGGGGACAACACATCCAACATTGTTTCTCAAAGCAGTTTGTTCTGTCAGTTAAATCATAACGACTTTTGCTATTCTCTGACCTCCTGAACTGGTGACAATACTTCCTAGGGAAGTTTCATTATTGTCCCTTAGATTAAGTTAGATGGCACAACATATAGCGCACCCAATGCAAGTATACCCTTTTTTAAGATGGCCAAAGTTCGAGAATAGATGCCTTTCCCATCTTCAGTTTCGTGATGACCGTTTTACCAAAAAGGTTAGAGTATTGGGTTTCTGTCATCTAATTCTCCGTTCAGTACTTCAAGGAAATCGTTTGCCCTGGTCTTTCTATTTCCACTCTGTCTGATATTAGCGCCTCAAAAGTCCTTACCAATAATGCCATGTCCGTGTTCCTGGATTTCACACGTAAGACCCACATGTGATTGCGCCAATAACGTTTTGTAATTAATACATCATTCCAAAAATAAAATAAATTGCACCAAGCAGCTGTTTCGTCCTTAAATGAAGCATCGGTGATGGTAAGGCCCAAAGTGTTAAAAAGCCAAATTTGGACTAATCTAAACAGAAGGAAAGCTGCATAAAATTCTTTAATATAAAATTCAAAAAGTAGAAGAGTGCCTGTCGATTTCAGATTTCTAAAAAGGCAAAGTTTGTATATAAGAACCATGCCACTAACGAAGAAAGAAAATTATGGCTATAAAGGTTAGGGAAAATCTGGAGGTCTAAGACATCCATCAGTGGAGTCTACCACCATGTATCTTGAAAGATGCACGCCTGACTCACACATGTGATTGCACCTAAAACATTATTGTAATAGAAACAGTTTGCAAAAACGAATTACACCGCACCATACAGCTGTTTGTTTTGCATCTCCCAATTGAAACCTTGTTTCATAATGTCATCTCATATTTGTTTAATTTTGAATCTCTCTTATTTGTGTTCATCTTTCGTTACATGCCTTCTGAACTTGATCTTCATGGTAACTTCAATAGGATGCTGATTACTCCCACAATCTGCGTCAAACATCGACACCGAGTCAATGGTGTTGTCTAATTGTTGATTTGCATATGACTGATATTGTCATGCATGTATCCCATGCAGATTCATGAGTTTCAGGTGAACTGACGTATTTCTTGTGATGAAGTAGAGTTTGTCTGATGATCAAGTTTGTGAAAGACACATGTCTGTTGGTTTTTCACCATTTTCACCACCAAATCCGTGTTATCCCTAAAATCAGAATGGCACGGCATACTGAAGTTTTGCTGTATACAGTTAGTAATTTGCCGTGCAGGTCCTCCATCGCTTTTGTATTTACGTCATTTCTTGTTTACCCTAAAAAATGGATCACAGTTAGCTCGTATAATTGAGTAGAATAGAAAAAACATTTTATCTACTGGGCCTCATGCTATCTTTTGTCCTAATCTTCTTGATCATGCTGATAACAACATTTGCACTATGTTGGCTGTAATTACAGTAGGGGACATGATTTCAAGGAATTATTTCCGTGTGTTCTATTTTTTAATGGTTCGGCAACACATGTACAGTGACGTCGATATTATGATATAAATTGTTATAAAAAGACACATAAGTTGTAATTGTTTATGAATTATTTAATAGTTATGTCCATAACAACCATTTTAAAAAGATTATATGAGTGTTTGCTGTTGAATATTTTCAAAGGTATCAGCAGATGTTCCACGCACTTCTCGCACACTGAATGTAGCCATACTAACAATTTTAAGACGTTGGTGCTGGTGTATTGTTCGATTACTTATGAGGGAATCGATTACATTATAAACCCTTGTTCCTGTACACTCATCTTATTTTTTGTGAGCATGCAAATGTTCATAATGTGTACGAAAGATACGAGCGAGTATCGTTTTTTGAAGGATTTCTTTGTATACTTGACAGGTATGGTGGCAGCCATGGATGAGGCTATCGGGAACATCACATCAGCATTCCAGGCCAAAGGAATGTGGGATGATACCATAATGGTTTTCTCTACAGGTGTATATATGTTTCCCGTCTTCTTTATTGGATTGACTTGTGTGTCGCCTGCAACGCGAAGCGATATTTATTTTTTTTTACTTTGTCGGCGTTGTCGGTTGCGTCGTCCGAACCAATGTTTCCGTGCGATTACTTGAGTTCCCTTGGGTTGATTTAACTCGAACTTAGTACACATATTGCATACTAATATAGCTCGGACAAGTTCGCATTTCAGAAGTTTACGTGCAATTTTAGTGGAGTAACGCCATTGTATTGCCAAATAAGGGCATTGTGTAGTAAATGCAACACCATTTTAATTTTTTAATCAATTCCTTTCAAATTTTGTACGGTAATGCTAAAAGCAATAATGTTCAACATATAAAACGGGGTTTTCTGTCGCGTTTCAACTTTTTGCATTTTGGCATATCTGTTTACGCGATAACTCGAGCCAAAACATTTTTCTTACTAAAAGTGCTGAGCAGGCGACACATTCACTCACGTGGAATTCTTGTTTGTGAAGACAATGTTTATATCATTATTTTCTTGCATTGCCTTTTATATTAAATTTTTATAATTGGTCATCAAAACTGCAATTGTTTCAGACAATGGTGGACAGATTTTAGCTGGCGGCAACAACTGGCCGCTGAGGGGCTGGAAGGCGTCTCTTTGGGAGGGAGGAATGCACGGAGTAGGATTTGTGCATGGCAAAGCCCTACAGAAAAAAGGAAGTGTATCCACCCAACTCATGCACGTGACTGATTGGTACCCGACACTGGTAGGACTGGCAGGAGGCTCCCTAAACGGCACCAAACCTCTGGATGGATTTGATCAGTGGAAAACAATTAGGTATGCAGAATTCAGTTTGAAGCAAGGTTCGGTTTTCTGGTAAAAATATCATCTCTTGATCCACAGACTTGCTTAAGTTCTACTCATGTTTCCGTATCATTAAACGTTGTCTGGTACGTTTCATGTTGGTTACTTTATGTGTAATCCTGTTTTCAATCATGCACAAATTTTCATTAGATATCAAATTTGTGCTATTTGACACTGACAAGTATGTGTAATGTATGCATATTTGTAATGTTTATTTGACATTTTGATGCTGTTTCTAAATGAAGGAGCACTTTTAATTTTTGTACACAAAATGAACTTGAAAGCTCGCCAAGGTCGTTCGACGCATATCATGAGCGTTGGCCACTGTATTTTATTAAGCTGATTGGAAGAAAAATTTGGAAGTCTTCTAGGAAACCATTCATGTATAAATAGGAATTGTTTTATCATGAATATTCGTTTATTAGTGAAGGAGCTAAGAGTCCTAGAGAAACACTGCTTCACAACATAGATCCCCTGACCAAGCCTGTCGGGGATAAACTGGAGGGGAGTCCATTTGACAACCGGTTCAGGGCTGCTCTTAGGTGGAGAGACTGGAAAGTGATCACTGGAAACCCTGGTATGTCAAAATAATTCCCGCCTTACTCCAATATATGTTTTCTCTGTAAAGAATAAAATAACTGATTTTTGTTTTTATTTCTGAACACAACGTGCATTGCTAGCAAAAATCTCTTCAGTCAGTTTAATGTAATTTCTATTACTGGGCAGATGGAAACAGACGGCTACTATTGCCTGTATTGTGTTACCGATCGATAACAGACCATTTAATGCATGTCTTCTTTGTCTGTCAAAAAAACTTCATAACAGATGATTTTTCTATTACAGGCAATGGAAGCTGGGTACCAGAGCCCACTGCTGAGAATATTAACATGGATGTCTACACTGGTGAACCGAAAAAGAATGTCTGGCTGTTCAATATTGCCAAGGATCCAGTGGAAAGAGTCGACCTGTCAGCAGATTATCCTGACATGGTGATGAAGATGCTGACAAAGCTGCAGCAGCTGAATGAGACAGCTGTACCTTGTGTCTATCCTCCCTCTGATCCAAACTCCAACCCTCAACTTCATGGGGGCTGGTGGGGGCCATGGGAAAAGTAGGATACTTAAGAGATACCTCAAGGAATGATTTTGATTTATCTAGCAATGAATTTTCAAATAGGAACGAGAAAATTAGCGTTGAATTTGATATAAAACATGACATTTTTTATTTACACTAGCGATGTTTGTTGACCGACTTCGTGATTTGTAGATTTACTTGTTTTGGTTCACTCATTACTGAGGGATGACATTTATGTGGTATATTTATTGCTTTATATGTGGTGGTATAATTACGTTTTTTCTTCTTTTTTTTCACTAGTCTTGACTATTATGAATATATCCTGAAATTGACTTGTAGCATTATGGTAGTTATACATGTATGTAAAATCCTGGGGATTGTTCTTTGCTGCCACAGGGTTACGGAACAACTAGTACAATGTTTTGACTATCATCAAAAAGGATAGAAAGATGATATGTCGTTTTCATTCTATTATTTCCACAGATTGCCATTTTAAACGGATACATTGTGTATGTAACTAAAGCAGTTTTTGATGCATCATTTTCAAATTAATTATACTACTTCAGACTGCGTAGATCTGTCTGATGTATGGCTTATCTTTCTGCATTCTGCTTGTAAAATCTTAAAGCTTTTCGGTACATGTACATTATTGTCAAATTATATATTGCTTTTTCTTATATTGAGACGATCTTTTACCTCTGCCATTTATTTTTTTTGCATATTTTGACAGGAGTTACTACGAATTTTGGATCTGCTAATTATTTAATCTGGAATAATTTTATGCTGTTTTACAAACATTGTATCCATGCTGAACTCTATAATGAGATCTAGAGGACAGTGGTTTCATCGATTATGTTTTACATCAGGTAATTCATTTAAAAATCTCTCTATGTATGTTAGGGGAAAGAATAGATCTGCTGCATACCTCTGCATGTCATGTTATATATAAGAGGCGACTAACGATGGGCTTTCTTTCGTGCCTTACTGTTCAGGGGACACTGAACAAATCAAAGTTGATCTGCAGCCCAAACAGCAACACTTGGGATCTTTGGTGTCTACTCTCACTTTTTCTCTACGTTTTGTTTTCGGTAGTGTCTCCCCAGGCAACCGCACGTCCTTAAATGGCATTAGTCGTTGATAGAACGTTAAAACTTACACGAAACGCCCTTAGCAACAGTCTTCATATGACAAGCTTTTACGAGGACGTTAAAAAAACAAGTAGATGGAATCTCACTTCCATATATTATACTGATTTGCTAAACAGTTGCCCAGTTGTTGTTTCAGACAACGCTAATACTGTGTGGCCAATGTTAGCTAGGCCGATATAAACACCACATGTATGACAGGTATAAGTCATGGCGATATAAATACCTATTTATGTGGTAGATGTCCTGACATCGTGCATATTGAACTGCCACCCAGATGTTATTCATGGTGTCCAAAATGAACATTGTACTTGCATTCTTCAGTATTAATTGTGTGCATTTCGTTTATGCCTAATTTTTAAAGACGGAACATGTTATTTTTGGTTATATACTCAATACATGCCTAGTGTTCTCATTGTTTTATTGCCGGAAAATGGTATCTTGGTTACGTACACGCTGAGATTTGTTATTGTTTATAGATGTTTTACATCCAGCACACCTATGTGTGTTTGTTTGACTGTAGAAATTCATTCCAAATACAAATGATAGGAAATCTCTTGTTAGTTAGTAAAATTTATTGTGAGGTAGAGTTGATGTACATGACATTGCTTTTAACTAGTTTAACTGGTGTTTACAAATGTCTCGTATGGTTATTTCTTACGATGTAATTTCATTTGTTTTGTGAGATTTTTCATGCAATTGCATGAACATTAGACGCATTATAACGATTACAGACATGAGATTATTATTTTTATACTGGAGGTCACTAAAAACAGGCAATATCGAGACCAGGTTTGGCGAATAGTGTGTATTAACAAGTCTTTCCATTCCCATACATTCTCTACTTTTTTTGTATATTCTTGAAGCAATTTGTTTCATCAATAAAATATATTTTCTAATAATTGCTATTGTTTTATTTCTATTGATTTTATTGTGTCGCCTGCGACGCGAGGGGACATATAGGTATTACTTTGTTGGCGTCGGTTTTGTTGTCCGCAACAAGGTTTCCGTGGGTTGATTGAGCTCAAACTTGGAACACATACTGCATACCAATATATGTCGAACGAGTTCGAATTTCAGAAGTTTACGTGTATTTTTAGTAAAGTAATGCCCCTTTTATTGCCAAATACGGACATTGTGTAATAAATGAAAGACCATTTTAATTTTTTAATCTATTCCTTTCACATTTGTTACTGTTATGGTAGAAGCAATAATGTTCAATACATATTATGGGTTTTTCTGTCGAGTTTCAATTTTCCACGTTTTCGCGTATGAAACTTGATATAGCAACACTGTACTTCATTTTTGCCGTTAACTTTTCCTTGTTTCCATACAATCTTGTTTCCGTGCGATAGCTCGAGTTTCTTTAGGTCGATCGAGCTCATACTTCATACCATGTTTTCTTACCAATAGTGCTTACTTGGTATTGCTTTTCAGGTTCGAAGGTCAAAGATAAAGCTCACCGTTACTATAAATAGACAATTTGTTTCCGTGCGATAACTCGAGTTTCATTAGGTGGACCGAGCTCATACTTCATACAGTGCTTCCTTACCAATAGTCCTTGATTGAGATTGCTTTTCAGGTCCAAAGGTCAAGGTCAGCATTACTATAAATAGAAACTCTGTTTCTGTGTGATAACTTGAGTTCCTTAGGTGAGATTCAACTCAATCTTCATATGATGTTTCCTTACTAAAAGTGCTTGCTCGGGATTGATTTCTCATTAGAGTAGCCTGACCAGGCGACACATCCACTCCTGTGGAATTCTTGTGAATATTTTGGTAAGTTATACCTGTGTATTGACATACTAACAAGTCAATTTATCACATACACGTGTATATTTCCTTGAAGCTGCACGACTCGATACACAAGTTTCGTGACAACGCTGTGTTAAACTCAACAGAGAAATACGAGCGAGATCAATCCATTCTAGACTTTCCAAACGTCATAGTCTTTCTTTGGCTGTCACAAAACCCTTTAAACATAATTCATATTCCGTTATTTGGAGGGGCAACCATTTAATTTTAGAAATGAACCCAAAACATTCTTTTGAGGAAATGCAAGGGTTTGGAGCCCTAGAATTATCCCCACCAACAATAGCCATACACTGGAAACCTCTTTCTCGTTTTCACTTTGTTATCTTCCGTTCATTCTCTTTTAACCATTATTCTCATTCATTAGAAAATATTGCTTGTAGTCACCCCGGAGAAAGAAGATCGAGACGTGTTGTATCCTATAAGGCATGTCGTAAAAGGTGACGACTGTTGGACCCCATTCAGAAACATTACGGGATATAAAATATACCAATATGCCGCCGCCATAGCAACGGTACCCGTCTGCATATGACCCTGGTTGTTGCAGGAACGTTAACCAACAAACAAATAAAATCTTTAATATACGCAAATATATATAGAAAAAATAAGATTTAACGACCGACTAAAAAACTAGCTGCTTTCACCCTTCACATGGCTCTTCAGTTTTATTTCAAAAGAAATATTAACTTAAAAAAAACTAGCTGCTTTCACCCTTCACAGGGCTCATCAGGTTTATTTCAAAAGAAATATTGTATTTCTTTTGAAATAAACCTGAAGAGCCATGTGAAGGGTGAAAGCAGCTAGTTTTTTAGTCGGTCGTTAAATATCTTATTTTTTCTATATTTACTTACTTCACATGGACATTTAATCCTTTTTTATCTCGCAAATATATACATATATCTTGAAATAGAAAACAAAACGTTTCCTAGAAAGGGATACTAAAAACAAACACCTTTTCCCGTTTGCTAATATTGTGTTAATTTGCTGTTCGATCGATATCATGTAACTATAAAATCCCTTAAAGAATCCTTTGAAATGTAATTTAAGTTGAAGATTGTTTTCATGTCTTTATATATCGAGCCCAATAGCCAAGAAAATGACAAATGAACATTAATTCCGTTCCGTAGTCCGTGTTACTTTCATTCGAACCTAGATTCAGTTGGCTAGTTTTATTTTAAATAGGGACGTTGTGTCCATTGTGTAGATCGATTTCTGTTTTCCAAATAGACGTGATGATGATAAGTAACGCTGCCTTGTCAGGTATTGTTTATTTTCTACTTTTGTGTTTTGTGAATATTGTTCACACAAAGCAGCCACATATTTTATTTGTGCTTGCGGACGACTACGGATATAATGACATTGGTTATCATGGATCGGAAATCAAGACCCCAAACCTCGATAAGCTGTCTGCTGAGGGTGTTAGACTGGAAAATTACTATGTACAGCCTATATGTACACCTACTAGGAGTCAACTTATGTCCGGGAGATATCAGGTAATATGAAACAAAATATCTTCTTTAGGCCTAGTTTCAAATATTCATTTATTTTTTTAAAACATTAAAATCTAACCTGACATTTGAGAATTATATGTAGACATGAAGAAATTGTTCTAATTTGTTAGGTTCGTCATACCCTTTTGGTTTCAGCCATACAAGCGCACTGGGAGTAATGGTGTGCTGCACTGCATGTGCCGGTAGTAGAGTTACTACAGCGTGTTTACCTGGGCCTGTTCGTTTATGCGGAACCTGTTTTAAAATGTTACATTTTCAGGTATAAACTCTAGGGGCCCCTGCAAATGCTTATGCAGGCTTTATAAGGCTTAGTCAAGGCTCGCCTGAATGCAGCATCTGATTACAAGATCGAAACTCATTTCATAACGACAGCAGCCCTCTGTCTGCAGTCAGGTGCGACACTAGTAATAGTGCTATACATACAGATTTGAGAGCTGTATTCATCACACAGCCGAACTGTGATAACGTAGGTAACTAACTGTGTTTATATAAAGATCAACATGTTTGTCAAGTCGTCTTTAGATGTTATGCCATCATTATAAACATTTTAACATTGAATATATTAGTATTGCTACTAAGAAGCACACGACGTATCTGATTCCCATATCAATGAAAACTTTCAGTTACAGAACCTATTCACAACGGCTGTTTACAAAAACTACGGTAACAAAGTAACACAAAAGCAGATACAAGTTTATATCTCAGTTTCTCAGAGCAGATAAATACGTATTACTAAACCTGTGCATTTGGCAACATAAATAAATCTTATTTAAACATTATTTTATTTCAAATTTTTGCACTCTACACATACTACAAAACATAGTATAAAGAGGATTGGAAAACAAACTATACGAGCTTAAACTAATTTCTCTCCTCTCTTGGACATTACGGCACAGTTTACATAATAAAGTTAATTTCTCATCCATTTACCCCTATTCGATACACCTGCACGTGTTTTCGAGTAATTAAATTTGAAAGCTAAATACGAAAGTTTGAATGCCCGCCGTGTCTGTGATTAAATTGTGAGATCGACATGACTGAAATGTCATTGTAGTTTTGAAATATCTCAAAACCAACCGAAATAAGGCCCGTTGTAACACTATGATTTTGGGTCGTATAAAAAGGAATTTATATTTTCATTTTCATGTGTCTGGATATATACAATGTTTAATTTCATGAATAGTAAAATAATCTAAAGAAGTACTAAGTAACGACCTACTGTATATATACTATACATGGAGTAGTTGATGGACATCCTCATGTATGTAATGACACAACAATGGATCGTTTGAGAGTTCATGAACTTATGACATGGTGGTAAGTACGGACACAGATGATATCAGTTAAACTATTATATTCGTCCTAAGGCTGACAGGACAATATTTGATATGGTATTCAGATGAAGAGATAAAGTGTACAATTAAATATGATGGCAAGAAGCCCAAACACTGGTCCGGTTTTTCTTGTTGTTGTTGTTGTTGTTCGTTTGTTTGTTTCAATTTCTTCCTTTATCAATTTTAATTGGCTTTATACCTTTTCGAAATTAAGTTGTGTATTTTTTAACTCATTTCCCCTTTATAACCAGATATAAAAAACTGTCGAAAAGCAAGTATTTTTTTCTTGAATTAAAAAATCAAACTATTTTGAAACACGATGCAGATTAGTACTAATGTACAAACGGTCTTGTGGTATATAAAAAAATACTAACTATAAATAACGAAAACATAAGTTTGATAAATTGTATATCTATGCGCTATAACAGCTTCTTTATAAAAATGCTTAGTCAAATTATGTAGGTCATAAAGAGTTTGCTGCCACACTTTAGGAGACCATAATCGGCTTTCAGTACCTTAACGCGTTTTGTAGCTAAATTAATCATATATTATTTAAAAAGGCTAACCTTATAACATGCTGTTTGAATTTGGAATATATTCATCTTGTTCATACTAATTCTAAAAAGATATGTTTATCAAATTGCAAAAAAAAGATCCATTTGGTACTTTGTTCATGCTTTTACTTAAAAGCTGAAAAAATCATAAAATGTTTACATCGATGTTCAATACTACTAATCACAAACTTCTCTTATCAGGTTTTGAATTATTAAAGTAAGTATTTTTATGTTATTTGATGCAAGTATTGCACATAGTTAATCAATTGTGAAGGCGCTGACGAAACTTAAACCGTGTTGATATATGATTGTTTTGATTTAATCGTCTTTTATATACATAAGCGACTCTGCAATCAATTTTAGAACTGATTCCATGATCGAGCGTGATTATAAGATAATAAAATTCTATAGAACATACTTTTGTTTACATTTTCTTCACAGATCCACACCGGTTTGCAACACAGCGTAATCTTTGCACCCCAGCCCAATGCCTTGCCAAGGGACAGCCCCATTCTGCCAGACAAGATGAGGGAGGCTGGATACTCCACACACGCTGTAGGAAAATGGCACCTGGGTTTCTACAAGGAGGAATACCTCCCCAACAACAGAGGTTTTGACACGTTTTATGGTATGACACGTTTTATGGTATGATACATTTCAATCGTAGACTCGTAACTTCTTTCGGCATGGCAATTGCCAGTTATATCAATTTAATTGATTTACATATACATGTAGCTCGAGATAGTTTTAGTATTTTCTTATTTATTGTTGGATTAATGTTGTATGTAAATCATTTTATGTATCATAAACTTGGTCCAAGAAGCAGCTTTCCAAAAAATTATGTGTGATTTCAGAAGTAGCACAAAAACCCGCAGTGTTGAGTCGTTACTGAAAGTCTGCTTGCACACCTATATACATGTATATTGTTAACTTGGACATATCTAATAAGACTGGAGGAATAACCATTAAGTTTATTGTATGACCAATGTAATGCTACACAGTTCATGATAAACTGCATGAATTGTGTGCTGGCATACCAGTAACCTCATTTCGCCTAAATTCACGAGGTCGATGTACTCATTCACAGGTTAATAGCTGTAACACATTTCCAGGTCATTACGTCATTTAAATCAATTTCAGCACTCACTATGCCGGTTTCTTTTTCTCATCCGGATAATGATTTATTGACACGAAGTAAAATTTCCTTATAATCCTTACTACAAAATGTAACAAGTACTTCAATTAACCAGTATCCGACAGTTTCATTATATTCTTTACCTATCTTCATTTTCTTGTTAGACTGTAGTTTTAACAGGTCTGCAAAAATTTTATCTGAATGTGTGATCGATAGTTCATGCTCTATCTATTTTGCACTTAATATAAAACGAATACTACATGAGTATACAAATTATCTGTTACCGCTATGCTTAACACATTATGGCCCGCTCGTCAATTTATAATGTAAAACGATACTATGCTTGGTATATTGCTAATGCACTGCCAAACACTGTCTGGTACACAGTTTTTGTGCCATAATACTCTATCTGGTATACTGTTAGTGTGCTGCTAGATACATGCACTATCTGGTATATTATTACAGTGCTGCAAGACACTATCTGGTATATTGCTAATGCACTGCTAAACACTATCTGGTATACTGTTTTTTGTGCTGCTAGACATTATCTCGTATACTATTTATGTGCTGTAAGACAGTATCTGGTATACTGTTTTTGTGCTGTAAGAGACTATCTTGTATACTGTTTTTTGTGCTGCTAGACACTATCTGGTATACTAATTATGTGCTGTTAGACAGTATCTGGTATACAGTTTTTGTGGTGTAAGATACTATCTGGTACATTGCTACACTACCTGGTGTACTGTTGACGTTCTTTTAGACACTACCTGGTGTACTTTAGACGTGCTTCAACACACTACCTGTTGTACTGTTGACGTGCTTCTACACACTACCTGCTGTACTGTTGACGTACTGTTGACATGTTTTTACTAGACACTACCTTTTATAATGCTGACGTGCTTCTAGACACTACCCGGTATACTGTTAATGCGCTTCAATTTACTTCCAGGTATACTGTTTATGTGCTACAAAACACTTCCAGATATATTATTTATGTGCTGCAAAACACTTCCCGGTATACTGTTAGTTTGCTGCAAAACACGTCCACGTATACTGTTTGTGTGCTGCTAAACAATGACAAATAATGCATATTTACATAGACTATATAAACTTTTAAGGGAATCAAATGTTTATGTTGAACTAATTACAGGATATTTGGCCGGAATGGAGGATTACTATAACAAATCTAGATGTATTGGTCCAAAGTTTTGCGGCAAAGATTTACGAGATAACCTCAAACCTGCTGAGCCGAACCCCAATGAATATTCCACAGAGATGTATAGCAGACGTGCCATAGACATTGTGAGCAACTACAACTCTTCTAAAGTAAGAACATACAATATTTGGAATAAATAAATACCATAACATCATAATTCACGAAAACAAAAACATCACAAAATATGTATACAACGAACCTCTTTATTGTTTCCCCTATATGCAGGTTTGTTTGAACCGAAATGATGCATTGGTTGGTTTACCAGCACATTTTCAAGAAAAAGCAACAACTTGTTATAAGCAAGTTTGATATACAACAAGACGGTTCGACCTTAGTCTCCTTCGAAAAATGACGTAGCTACAGAATATTTTAAAACAACAATTTTTATCTGGAATCAGGGAAATTTTGTTAGATATCTATAAAAAAAAAGAATTACGGATATCCTTCGCTGTAGAATGCTTGCGACTTACAGAAGAAGACATGTCAAATATCATAACTTTCACACATGGAGTATCTATGAAAAAAACAATTTCTGTCAAGGGTAATCACGAAAGAGAACCCGCGCAGTGCAATCACAAACGCATGAAAAACATCATAAGGAAGATGTGTTGAAGTTTGATTGCCCACGTGAAAAAAAGATACAGACTTTTTATTTATCATTTATTATTGTGTGCGCATATTGGAGAGCGAAATTAATATTTCATTTTAATTCTATTATTTTATAAACATAAGGTCGAAACAGCAATGTGGTGCAGTGAAATTCATTTTTTGCATACTGGTTTGGTTTAATTTTGTTTAACGTCCTATTAACAGCTAAGGTCATTTAAGGACGTGTTTTTCATACTGGATCTATAACCTTAAATGTAAGGTGCAAGCACCCCTGTGTTTGTCACGTTCATACTTCAAGGTCAGTGGACTCAATGCCCTTTAATTAGATCTTATTTATCTTGAGGTTTGATCGCGAGAAAATTAGACTTGCATTATCAGCTTTACAGTTGGTTTTACGACTTATATCACTCAACGTTAATGTCCATGCTAATTTAATTACTTAATAAATGTAAAAGGTTCGATTGATGTACTAGTATGGACAATTTTACCAATATTTTAAGCTATTTACATGTCGAATTGTGATTTTTTCAGCCCATGTTTCTGTACCTAGCACTCCAAGCTGTCCACGAACCATTAGAAGTCCCTGCGAGGTACAAAGAAAAGTATGCTCACATAAGAAACAGTGACAGGCGTACATATGCAGGTCAGTACTTTAATAGGATTAAATAGGAAAGTTAATGAACATAGGCAAACGTTTCCTCGGAATCAATTTCTAGAATACAGTTGATACATGTAATAAGGTATACACTATGTTACAAATATAGTAAATAGCCTAATTGTTGATGTATATATACATACATTGTGGTTATACTATATGAATTATTCCTATTATTATTAAGGAATCTTATAGCATTTTCTGCTGTTTATTTACAATTCAATGGATTGATTATATCTTCTGAAAGTCGTTTTTGTGTACGTAATTTAAGGCAAACTTTGTGTTATCTAATTCAATAAATACAATATTTATTTTTACGAAAAAAAAAGATAGTCTCTCTGCCGTTGACCTTGTTCTGTGGTATCTTCAATTCTGTATGAATTCCACACAATTGCTGTGTAATCCCAATGTTGTCTTAGTAACTATATAAAAAGCGTTTTTTATGATAGACTTCTCGAAGTTTGCATTTTTAAAGGTGTACAATTTATTTCGCATATACATAGTTTCACTTTCTCAAATAACAGAGTTGTAAACAAATAATGCCAGTGTCAACATTCGGCCCTACTTCAATATCTTTTATTGTTTCGCCATAATTATGCAGATACATAAAATGAACATTAATTGCGTATATAATTATTCATTATTAATACTGATAACCGTAGTGGACCTCCTTGCATAACACCAGGTTGTGTGACGGGGTATCCTAACAAAATGACACATAAATGTCACAGGTGAATATAATTTTGAAAATGAATAAGGATTGTGTAAAGTGACTGAAATTACTGTCATTTTGATACAAAATATGTCATATTGGTATGCATTAAGTAAGCGTAGTGGTACATTTAAGAAGAAAAATATGCAAAAGTTTCACAATATTTATAATATATCAAACTTAAGCTTCATAAACCCATACATCTTGTATATGTGGTTCCCCCTTCGAAGATCGTGATAATTTTGTCCTGCATTGTCCTTTTTTTATACTAACCAAGGACTAATACTCTCTGTCAGCGATGAGTGATGCTATTTCACTCAATACCCAAACTTTTATTTATGGTTTTCAATCACAAGACGTAAATATGAATATAAATATTGTGGAGACGGTTCAGAATTACATTAGAGACACCAGACGTTTTTATAAGATAGCTTTGTAAAATAATCTCTCTTACAACAATTGTGATATTTGAAATATGTCTTGTCAAATCAAATTCAAAGTACAAATGATCTCTTATTTTAATACTCAAAAAAACATCTGTAAAAGTATCATTTATATGATATGTATATACCGTTATGTTTTGTAAGGAGAGGGCTTATATAGGCTATGCCTGTTGCCTAATTCCTTTTGTACATAAGATCAGTACAAGAAAAAATTCTGAAATGAATAGACGTTGACCTTACCTTTTATGAATATTATGTCAATGATATTTTGCGAGGATGCAAGCGAAATATATAAACGTTTAATTTTAATGTCATTCTATGTATATATGACAGGAATGGTTGCTGCCATGGACGAGGCTATCGGGAACATTACAGCAGCATTCCAGGCCAAAGGAATGTGGGATGATACCATCATGGTTTTTTCCACAGGTGTATATTGCCTACACCTGTGACATATGGTTTTCTTTTCCTTGCTTAGTCTGAGGGTCCCCGTGTCAACAGTTTCTTTATTCAGATGATTCAAATTCGATATTTTGTATCTTGTTTTTGTATCCCCAGAAAATAGATTCTAGCAGGAATAACGGAGTTTTACTTATCTCTCCTGGCACATTTTCTGGCTAAATTCTCAACTCAAGTGTACATCAAATTCGTGCATAATAACCTAAAGTGCTGCGATCTTTTTGGCTCATGGTTTCCGGTTGATATCTTTTGAAAGAATTATCGGATGATTTTTGATGATATGATTCTATTTAATATCCAAGTCCCTTGCTTAATGTTGGTTACCGGCCACTTTTGTTAATATTTTAAGTGGCTTTTACAATCTGTTTATTATTCTTTGGTGATACATACATTACGATTAGTCAATATGCAGCATTAGCTGACACACGCGACACATTCGCAGTTGTAGAATATTTGTGTTTGGTATATGGACTTTCAAAATATATATTAAGATTTTGGCTTAGAGAAAATGTCTTAGAAACCTGATTTACAGTAATATCAATACAAAAATGATAAAAACTTTTTGAACTGTATTTATGACTTGAAAAAATACAACTACAATTAAATAATTCATGAGAGTGCCATTTTGTTTTCAGACAATGGAGGGGAGATATATGCAGGAGGCAACAACTGGCCGCTGAGGGGCTGGAAGGCATCTCTTTGGGAGGGAGGAATGCACGGAGTAGGATTTGTGCACGGAAAATCTCTACAGAAAAAAGGGAGTGTGTCCACTGAACTCATACATGTGACAGACTGGTACCCGACACTGGTAGGACTGGCAGGGGGCTCCCTTAACGGCACCAAACCTCTCGATGGATTTGATCAGTGGAAAACAATTAGGTATGTAGATGGTTGTTAGAAGGAACATGCATTATTGTCATGTCACCGTCCAAAGCCACAATACAAGAACAGGCTGTATTTCTTTTATCTATCCGTCTTCCTTTATTTCAAATTGCACATGATACCCTAGCGATTCCCTGTCCCTGATGCTAGTTTCTGTTATCGGTAGTCGTTTGTTGCTGGCTCGTAGGGGGCTGGGGTTTGAAGGGGAGAGGAAATATCTGCTTACTCCTTTGTGTTTTGAATTAGCATCACCGACCACATTATAAGTTTACCATAAAATTACCATATATGTTCTTATTTTTGAAGGACCATTTAACAATACCTCAATACATGACGAATAGATGTATGCTATTTTGCTATTATTCTTTCAATGAATGTCAGACTAGATTAGCAATGCAATTTGGACCCCTTGCTTATTACCAAATATTAATTGAGAGAGGGGCAGTTTTGTATAACTCTTTAATCTTAGTTAACATGAAAAACGTTTAATAAGAAATGACACTGACATCAAATTTTATTTTTGTAGCCTGCTTAATTTTTATGGTTTATTTAATATTTTTGATGAATTCACACCCATCATACATCGTGAAATTTGAGTTTGTTGTATTCTGCTGATTCATATTATACTCCCTGATAAACATTGTGTAGATGATTGGGATGACGATTCGGAAATCATTTTTGTGAATATGTACAATAAAAGAGCTGGCTTTATAATGTATATTCATTTGTCAGTGAAGGAGCTAAGAGTCCCAGAGACACACTTTTACACAACATAGATCCCCTGACCAAGCCTGTGGGAGATAAACTGGAGGGGAGTCCGTTTGACAACCGTTACAGGGCCGCTCTTAGGGTAGGAGACTGGAAGGTGATCACCGGAAACCCTGGTATGTCTTTCATTAGAATAGTAAATAAAGCTCTGACACCAGATCCGTTCTTTATAGCATTCATCCAAATATCCATATGATATTTGTCAATTAAAGTTTACATTCCTAATATACATATTAATATACCTAAAGTCTGAAATTCATGAAGAAAAATTAAATAATTTAAAATAAGTTATGATACAGTGATATATAGAGAAACATTAACAGTTCACCGGTCATCTTCAAAACCCTTGGTTCCACTTTCAATATCACCAATCTTGTTTGCATCCTCTGATTTTCTGAAAAGAGAAACGAACGATCACGGTTAGCTATTTGATTGGTCCCCGACATATAAACCTGCCAAATTGCAAGAAGGCTGAACCACGTCTAACTGTTGTCCTTTATTAAAGGCTATAAAGATTTTTCAAACTAGTCAACATATATAATTCGCACTGTGGCCCGTGTAGTTACTTTGATTATGTCATGAGAAAAATCATGGGTGCATAGAAGAAAGATGATATCGAATGATGCGTTCGGGTATGGCTTGACCAATATCCTAATCCGAGAGTTAAGATTTCCTTGTTGATAACCACAGATAGCTCATTTTACTTCCATACAGATAACCTACGTGCGTTATAAAGAATATCAAGCTAAAACGTTAAATTTCTTAATCAGTATTCAATGTCAGCTGTGACGTGCTGTAGATAAAAAAACTGTTTCATACAAATGTATAACGAATGTTCGTGTATTTAAAAACTTAATCATCTAATACACGCTTTAGGCGATGGAAGATGGATTCCAGAGCCCACTGCTGAGATCATCAACATGAATGTCTACACTGGCGAACCGAAAAAGAACGTATGGCTGTTCAATATTGCCAAGGATCCAGTGGAAAGAGTTGACCTGTCAGAAGATTATCCCGATAGGGTGATGAAGATGCTGTCAATGCTGCAGCAGCTGAATGAGACAGCTGTACCTTGTGTTTATCCTCCCGTAGATCCTAACTCAAACCCTGAACTACATGGGGGCTGGTGGGGGCCGTGGGAAAAGTAGGTTGTAAAATATTCCGGAGGGTATAGGAGAATTCAATGGTTTACTTATACTTTACATATTTTTTGCTGTGATGTGCTATGGTAGTGATATAAAGAGCTTCCATTCAGCTGTGAGTATTGAACTTGAACATTTTAAATTTTGTAAGAAAATTTTATATGTAAGTTTATTTAGCAAAATAACTGTATTTACGACGTGCAGGGTCGTTTAGCATTACAATAGAAAGGCGTTGAAAAATGATACAATATTGGCTAAAAATAGTATGCAATTCAACGAACGATCTTGTTAAGTCAATTTATAACACTTTGAATCAAAACTAAAACTGAAATATTCCACATAAAATTGGGCTAGTGTGATAAAATAACTTTTGTTAATTAATGGTTTTGGATCTGTTTGCCTTTATTCATTCATTCCAAATTTTATTATAAGAATAGTTTGCCCTTAATTGGAAAATATTTGGCTGTACGAGAGAGAGCAAGATTTTATGTTAATTTTTCCAAGAGTTTCGAATGTAGACAATCTTTAGACCATGTCAACGTAAACAGATTCCGCATAACCTTAACAAAATATATAGTTTCTTCTCAATGCTGGCGTGTTAGAAGTTGGCCGTTGCAACAGTCTTAAACCTTTTCAGTATGAGAGTCATTCATGCAATGTTGTGGGGTCATTGAGGATGAGAACAATTTCCTAGTGGAATGAACTATGTGCTCAAACACACACTCTAAGACGTTTATACACTAGAGAAGGTATTATAATCACCAAGATAGGCCAAAGTTTAGTAAAATTAAGTTCGTCTACGAACAAGACAAACGTTTCCCGGTCTACATTTTAATCAGAAGTAACGTCCACCCTGATGTCGTGAAATCTGCATCTAAGTTTGCATTGTCAATGTTTATCTTTTTTACATTATTATGTTGATGTAATTCCCTGTTTCACTACATAGATGTTTGCATATGCAATATATGTTTGGCCCAAGAACATGCATGTCTGAATAATGGAGATTTATACAACTTTTACTATAGAAAACTTAGAAAAGGAAACTTTTTAATAAAAAGGCGTCTCTTTTTACAGCTATCTGTTCAATGGTATTTACCATTGGCTTTATGTATTACACGCTATATGTTATTGTCCATACATGGCTGTAACTATAAACTATATTAGTAATATCTTCATTACATCCATTGCTATGGAATTATGCAAGTAAACTATACTGTCATTAAATTTAACAATAACTTCGTAATATGTGCTAGCTCAGTGGTAATAGTTTTGTTGTTGACTCCTTACCCGCAATGACAGACGAACAGGTCTGTAAAACAATAACTTTAAGGTGTTTAGAAGACAAAACATGATATGGATATTTTGTCTTTGTATGAAGAAAATAAAACCCTTTATAGTTTATTGATTGACTCTATAACATTGGGGAGGATAATTGCTTGTCCTAATTTGAAGATGTACTTTATTTTGCTTGTTATAACACATATATTTACTTGATGTTTCATGCTCATGTTATATCTGAGGGAAGGCATTTACTACACTTTCTATTCTGTGGGATTTTCGTTCATGAAACCATGCCATGGCGGAACATAGCAATGGTTCTCAGCATCTGTTTGTCCGAACGTTTTGATCAATATATCTGACATATTTTTGACTAATACTTTTAAAGTTTGTCATCACATTGAAAAAAACGCTATTTAATTTTTGCAAGAGTTATCTGTTTGACACATCACTATCAGAGTAAGTACACTGCAATAGAGTTGTTTTCATCTGATCGGCTACCTCTATTTGATTGCCAATTTGTTTCTGCTGTCATAACAAACTATCAAAATAGTATAGATAAGCTTTTTGCATATAACTACTTGAATATCTACGACACAGTGCAGTTAAATTGAGTATATTACTTAATCAAAATTTTGAGTTGATCCGCTACACTGCCATTTTATTTTGCTAATTCTGACAGCAGTTGCCTACCATATGGTATCATTGAGTTATATTTAATATCCCATTATCAATGATATGTTATTGTTTTACACTTGGAATTATGTGTCCGTCACCGAATCTGATCTTGTGATCTTGTGCGGGACGTATTATATTACAACAGAATGTCACAAAAAACGAATATCATCATTTGATATATGATACTATCATATTGTTAGGACCACGAAAATATTGTATGTACTCCAAACCGTTTGGAGAGATTTGTCGTCGCCATAGCCCTCGCTATCATTGCTATACCGATAACACACAAATTTACATGGTCATCAAACCACAGGACAGTTGGAATACCGTCTCAGAAAGTCTGGAAGCTTGTCTGATAGATATCAGTATCTGGATGAACGCCAACATGCTTAAGCTTTATCAGGAAAAGACGGAACTAATCGTCTTTTCCCCAAAGTGTCAGCAAACAATGGCTCTCCAGCTCAAGGTTGGTGCCAGAACTATTGAGACTGTTCCAGCTGTTAAAAACCTAGGGGTATACTTTGACAGTTCTCTGAACATGGAGAAACAAGTGAACGCTATTGCCAAATCCTGTTACTACCAGATCAGGAACATCGGCTGTATTCGGCAGTTTTTAACTGCAGATGCATGCAAGATTTTGGTGCATTCACTTGTTACCTCTCGGTTGGATTATGGTAACGCCCTGCTCTGTGGTATATCTGACAAACTAACTAGTCGTCTGCAGAGGGTCCAGAACACTGCAGCACGGCTAGTTACTCGTACTCGAAAGAGAGAGCACATCACACCTGTGCTCTATTCGTTGCACTGGTTACCTGTACGATACAGGTCGCAGTACAAAATTCTGGTGTACACATACAAGGCACTGAATGGAACAGCTCCTCAGTACATACAGGAGCTTGTTACCCTGTATCAGCCGTCACGATCACCACGGTCGGAGTCAGAATCTTTGTTGTGTGTCCCAAAATCTCGTGCTGTGACCTACGGAAACAGATGCTTTGGAAGGGTTTCGGCTACGTTGTGGAATAGCTTACCATCTGCAATTAGAAAGTCCAATACCCTGGCCAAGTTCAAGAGAGACATCAAAACTCACCTCTTCACGTCTGCATTTTAGAATCTTTGCAAAGACGTTATGTAAATACCACCCTTTTATTTGTTCAATCATGTGCACATTGCTTGCTTAAATGTATAAAAGTGATTGTAAGCCTTTGTTTTTTTGTTTTCACAATTATAACCATTACTATTATCCATATGTTGTAAAGCGCTTTAGAGTAATTTTACAAATTATATAGGGCGCTATATAAATGTTGTATATTATTATTATTATTATACATTGTGCTTTTTAGTAATACGAATATCATTTGTGTTAAGTACAATCTAGCGCGTATTCAAATTGAATTCAAATTGATTTATATTCCTTACATTTTCTTATTCTAAGAAACTAACATTAATAATATCAAGTTAGTTTTTAGTCTAAAACTAGAATAGATATTGTTGGTGCATGCTTGTTTGATAAATAGAATAGACAATAGATCCAACCTTAAGGTAGCACAACAAGCTAAACGGAGCTAAAGTTCTATATTCTCGAATACTCATGTCCCCTCATGATCAATTTGAGAATTATATGTACCAAGTATCATTGTAATTGGTGAAGTATGTGTTCTTCAAAAGTGCAAACAATGTTTTTAAAGGGGTATAACTTCATCCATTTTGCATCTCTATTCATGGTGTTAATTTACGTATTATGTGTACCAAGTATTCTTAAAATTGGTGCAGTATTTTAGAAGGAGGTACCAATTCATTTTCTTATTCATATTCATTTTGTCTACAGACAGATAGCTGCATGGGCAGACAACCCAACCACATTATAACCCCACACCCATATAATGCATTTAGTGGCCTTGTAGGGACCCACCACTCACAAGGACCAAGCTCCAGTGAAACATTTATGAGTGAAAAACAAAGTATAATTCTTCCCTAATGCAAGAGCACTAAATAATTTAATTATATATACTAATATAGAACAAGAACACACCAATGAAGATAAATCTGTTGTTTATTTCATCAACTTGAAACTCAGATGTGGTACCTGTAGATAATATTTCTAGAAAAACTCCACATAAGAGAAATGTGTCTGGAGAAACGTTAGATTATATATATAAGATTATCCCTTTTTGACTTCCGCTCCTTTCTCCTCTTCTCCCCCATCTTGGTCTTTGGGGAATAGATCATGGGGTTATTTTCATCGGTATGTGTCAGGTGATCTGTACGATTTGCCTCAATGCCACAAAATTAAAAGTATGAACAAACTTTAGGTTTATAGAATAGAAGTTACAACCAAATTTATTTATGCAACCTGTGATTTCAAAGCTTTGAAACCTTAAAAGTAATTGCATTATTATATAAAGTAAAACACTAAGAGAAATTCATGTTTGTTTGGGTTTTTTATTAGAAAAAATAGCTGGTGTCCATTGTGTAAACACGGCCATAGCCTTTTTATTTAAGTATTAGTCCTTGCATTGCCATAAGGATAAATAAAAACAACACCTATAGCTATCTGTACCACAATGTATAACCATGTGCAATTTCAGTTTAAACTTCTGGTTCCTTAGATAATCTCCAATTGGTAACAGACAAACAGACGGACAGAGGACAGATAGACGGATGGACATCATTATTTACTAATTGCATACGCAGATCCCGAATTAATTCTGACCAACTTTGTTTAGATAAACATAATTTGGCCTTATGATTGACATTTGACCAGATTACCTTGACCTTTGGTAAGTTGACTTCTTGTTGCTTATGACCAACTTAACCTCATTATGTCATAACAAAATGTTTATTAAAATCTGGCCTTTTGAGGGTCATGTAATGTGTTTTTGACAGTATAGACCCACTTTTTAATATACGTGGAGCAACATGTTGATATATGATTAAACTTTAGATACAATCAAATCTTCACACCTGCCTAAGTTTGCAGAAAATTGCAGAATTCATCATAATAAATTGAAATGTTTAAATGTGTTTGAAATATCATACCAGCGTGTATTTGAACATTTCGCAAACACCAGTCACAGATAAAAATGTGTTTAAAAAAATATCTGGGAGTTTGCAATAACAAAATATTGTATGTTACAAATTTGTGTCTTGTTGTGACAGGTAAAATTAATATATTTTAGGGAGGAATTAATAACAATGTATGAATATTTTCAAATGAATTTTAACTCTCATTGTACAATACCAGAAAGCTAATAATATAACATGTAAGATATATATCTAATTGTAAATTTAAAACAAATGTGTCTTGTTGGTACACGTTGGTAAAATCACGGAACTAATTAAAATCTAGGGTTTAATAATGCTTTATTAGATAGGAATAAATTACGATGTATGCATTTTCAAATTGACTTTAAAACTGTCATTTTACAGTACCAGAAAGCTAATAATATTACATGTTAGAAACTGGACAAAATGAACCCAAAGTGTTTTACCTATCATACATATTCTATAAAATCTACCCCTTTCAATCTGACCATAGGTCATAAACACATATTTTATCAGTATTGGTACAATTGTGGAGTTAATGATCTGATGAAAGATGGAGGTACACAAACATTTTATACTCAGAATGAATTTAAGGATAAATATAACATAGACACAGACTTATTACAGTATTATGGTATTTTATCAGCAATAAGAAGATCTTTTACACCAAACAATATTGTTCACAATACAAACATGGACATGTTTTACCCTATTTTACCTTTAAATCGTAGAGATTTTTGACAGACACAAAAAGGGGACAAAAGATATTTATACAATACTTATAAAAAATGAGATTTTTCCAACTGATAGAAGACAATGGGGATAACTGTTTGATATTAATGATGACAAATGGAAGAAAAAATTTCAGATTCCTTTTCGTGTAACTTTCAGTTCAAAACTTCAGTGGTTCCAAGTTAGAATCATACATAATATTTTAACTACAAATGTATAAGGTTCGTCTCAAAGATAGCCCCTTATTGGTTTTTTTGCAACTTGGAGAAGAAAACAATTATACATCTCATCTGTGGAATGTGACAAAGTACAGAACATTTTACAATCTTTAGAAATATTATTAGAGGCATTGATCATTCCTTTCTCTTTCAATAAAGAATCCTTCATTTTTGTAATAACACAAACAGGAATAGCCTATAGACTTGATAATGAAATTATACTTTTGATTAAACATTATATTTACAAAACAAGATTTCTTCAAAAATATACTTTCAGTAAATGCACTACTAAGTACTATAAAGGATCACTATTCAGTACTAAATACTATAGAGGATCACTATTCACTACTAAATACTATAAAGGATCACTATTCACTACTAAATACTATAGAGGATCACTATTCACTACTAAATACTATAAAGGATCACTATTCACTACTAAATACTATAGAGGATCACTATTCACTACTAAATACTATGGAGGATCACTATTCACTACTAAATACTATAAAGGATCACTATTCACTACTAAATACTATAGAGGATCACTATTCACTACTAAATACTATGGAGGATCACTATTCACTACTAAATACTATAAAGGATCACTATTCACTACTAAATACTATAGAGGATCACTATTCACTACTAAATACTATGGAGGATCACTATTCACTACTAAATACTATAAAGGATCACTATTCACTACTAAATACTATAGAGGATCACTATTCACTACTAAATACTATGGAGGATCACTATTCACTACTAAATACTATAAAGGATCACTATTCACTACTAAATACTATAGAGGATCACTATTCACTACTAAATACTATAAAGGATCACTATTCACTACTAAATACTATAAAGGATCACTATTCACTACTAAATACTATAAAGGATCACTATTCAGTACACAAATATATTGCGTGTGGTAAAGATGATTCTTCTCTTCAGGAATTTCAAAATGAACGGGAAAAATAGAATAGCCTTCTAGAGTTATGAAATCTCCTTACATTTTATTAAATATACCGGGTTTCTATTTTGATGTGTTATCTTACTGTGCTAAGCCGAAATTATCTTAACAGTTGCACACTAGAATATTTCAGTATTGTTTTGCATATTTATTTAAGTTACTGCAGTTAATTAAGTTACTGTTCCTCTTTCCTATATTTCTGTTCTCCTTTCCTTTCTATCTGCTCTCTTTCTGTTCTATCATATAATATACATGTACACTACTTAAATTTATGTAAGAACGTCAAAGATCAAAGTGTGTGTAAGTAAGTATGTAATAAGAAGATATTGTTTGTACTTGTATATTGTACACTGTATTGATGAAAAAAAAATAAAAATAAAAATTTTAAAAATTTTTAAAAAAAACTTTCCAAAGGGTCAATAGATGACCCTTGGGTAATAAACTTTACAATTTAGATAAAACATGTATGGACATTTCCATCCATCCAATATTCCGATGGGAATTTATCTCTAAAAGAATATTTAGAGATTTTCACTAAAAAAAGATTGTTCGATATCTTTCCAGTAAAAATATTTATTTATATGTTTTCTTGTCTGCATATATCAATTATGAAACATTCGAATAGAAATTATAAAATATCTAAAACTGTTTTAATATCTAAAACTGTTTTCCAATCTCTGAAATTGTTTGTATGTAATAACTGTACAGGAATATTGAATAGATACAAAATCGGGAAATAGTTATAAATAAGGACACAGACTTTCCGTTCCGTACATAGGAGGGCAGTGAGGACTACAGAAAGGACGTGTTCCCGTAGACCGCAGTAGCTACAACAGCCTGTCCGCATCTAAGGAGCTGTCCGACCTTAGAGCGTGACCTGGATGGGCAGAACCTTAGAATCTCAGAGGGCCCAGTAAGCGCCAACTTACCCCCTCAAGTCGACCGAACACAGACTTCATCAGTGAAGTGTAGACTATAAAACCATCAACCAACCGTTACGTACTCCATTCTATTGTTTTGGTTTGCTAACACTAAGACTTCCTGTTTGGTGACGTGGTGTAGTTTGATTTGCTTTAAGTAAAGGTGTATTATACGTATCATAACGATGATAGAGAATGCCGACTTCACGTGTTGTATATTTTCTTCTCCTGTGTTTTGTGAAAATTGTTCACACAAAGCAGCCACATATTTTATTTGTGCTTGCCGACGACTACGGATATAATGACATTGGTTATCATGGATCGGAAATCAAGACCCCAAACCTCGACAGGTTGTCTGCTGAAGGTGTTAGACTGGAGAATTACTATGTACAGCCCATATGTACACCTACTAGGAGTCAACTGATGTCTGGCAGATATCAGGTAGTATGAAATAGCAAAGTCTGAACAGAGCGTAGTTTTTGCTAATCTCTGATATTTATTGATTCAGAATAGGATAATACGTGAAAAAGGATGGTAACACCTGCCCGATCACGTAGGTTTTATCCGGGTACTCCGGTTTCCTTCCACATTTAGACCCGCTAACATCAGTGTAACAAAAGTTACTAATATAAGTTGAAATAACTTATTTCATAATTCTTTTAAATAAAATATGTTATATATATAATTTAAGTTATTGCATCCCAACACCAAATTCGAAATTCAGAATCTTCCAAAAGCTATCCGCATCTTTACTTTTTGAGTCTGTGGTAAAAATAGGTATATAATGTATTTTAAATTCTTTTTTTTATTAACGGTGATGTATATCAATTTTGTAAAGAATAAGTAAAATGACGTAAGAATGTCATTTATTTGTTCTTATAGTCAGAAAAATGTAATCAAAAGCTGATGAAATGTATCTGTTTTAACAAATAAATGTACATGTATACGTAGACGCATTAGTATAATGGTCTTTTGAAGGTATCTCTAGTTAGAAATGTTTACATTCTTTTGTTAAACATATTTTATTTCCAACTAGAATTAAACAATGGATTGGGCACATGTATTACATCTTACAGTATTTTTTGCCTTCTCCTGTCGTACATTTACAATTACATGATAAGAATGGTAAAATACATACGTATAAAGTAGTAGAACTATGTGACATTCACGTTGCGCCAATGCACAATATATAAACACCGTTCAAAATCTTTTGCTGGATATGATAAAATGATGAATATATCTAAAAATGTAAAAGTTAAGGTCCATCGTAAGAGCTGCCATTCAAATGAAGCTCTAAATTAACTATACAGCTAAGGCAATCAAAGTTTGAAACATAAAACGCCTTTCATTGCATGTCAAGTGAATGTCATTCTCACATGGATTACCACAGTTGCAAACTGGATTTTTGATAAGACTCACTCTATAAAAGTCATATTTAAAAGGATCTACACTTTGCCTCAATTTAGTTTGTAAAATATTCAAAGTCCGTTCTCAATACAGTCAACTACTCATAACTGTTGTGCGTGTCTGTGTGTGTATGACAAATATGTTTTTAAAAATAACGATAATAAAATAGTCGAACAGGGCAAATGGAATTTTTTTTCTGACGATGAGGTTCATGTCCTTTATAATCAACGTTAATCGGAGCGAGGCAAAACAGTTATTTGAACTTTGTTAATGACCACTGCTGATCTGATAACGGCCAAATAAATTCGTTATTACGTGTTCTTTGTTGGCCTTTGCCAGGGGGTACAACCAGGTACACTAATTCCATTAGGATACGGTATTGCTAAACGAATCCCATCAAACGTGTGTGTTATAAGTGTTTATTTCTGCATAAAGATATAAAAAAAATCAAATGTGTACACGTTCTCACTTTCCGGTTAAAGAGTGTCAACTAATCCACATATGAAGAAAAAATTTGAACATGGAACATGTTCATTACAATATGTTACAAATTGTTCCCTTTATAAATGACCATGTTGAATGGATATGAGGACAATCTGAAAGTAGATCAGTTAAACTTTCTATATTTAACAGTACACATATAACACTATGCTGCTTCTGTCATGTATCCTTTTCTTGTAAGTATTCCTTCCTAAAACCATTCTCCATTCCATGTCATGCTTCATGGTATTTACTTAATTTGACAATTATTCCGGAAATTTAAGCAAAACGATCTAAAGGCACAAATAATTCATTGAGAGATTGTTCGTCGTCTTCTAAACAAAGTTTCAGTCAATTGCATATTACTTGAAATGTACTTTTAGAATGGTCAACAATTATCTAAATTTTGGTTGTTGCGTGCCGCAATAGGTGAATCACTCGTCTTTTACCAAGGTTGCCGGGGTTCGATTCCCCGATCGGACGTGAAGAGGTATGGTGTCACCTGCACGACCACGTGGATTTTCTCATGGTTCTCCAGATTCCTCCCACATTAAACCTCCTGTGCACTGACATCCAGGCCAACAAAAGTGATTGATATAAGCCAAAATAACCTTTTTCATAAATGTTGTAAAATATTAAAGTTTATATTTATATTAATAAAATTTTAATGATCTGGTTATAATTCCACGGATTAGACGATCAAATTTGGGGAAAATTGGTCTCATTCTTGGACTACTCTTTGTATATTTAAATATGTTGATCCTAGACCAATCATATAAACGTAACTTGTAACATTTGCGTAAAAAGTCTTGATCAACTGTTGTATGGTAAGAGCAAATCCTTGGACGTTGTTGTTTTATTTGTTTTTATTATATAGGCTTACAGTTAAACTGTTGATGTCAATTTCAGTAGGCAAACATTGTCTCTATGAGCTGGATGGGGTTGTTAGGTGCATCTCAGCTGCTTCTGTAACATAATATGTACTTTAATGAGCCTTAATGGTTTGTTGACAACTTTTAAACGTTTATTGATTAAATTTTCTTAGAAACAAAACTAATTTTTGGATTTTTGGGACTATAGTTATGATATATAGTATATCAGTACATTGTTATATATTACTCGCAGATCCATACTGGGTTGCAACATGAACTAATTTGGCCAACCCAACCCAATGCCTTGCCAAGGGACAGCCCCATTCTGCCAGACAAGATGAGGGAGGCTGGATACTCCACGCACGCTGTCGGAAAATGGCACTTGGGTTTCTACAAGGAGGAATACCTCCCTAACAACAGAGGTTTTGACACGTTCTATGGTAAACATATATTTCAATTATGTACTCATAACATTTATTTTTAAAACATTGTGAAATATTGATCGAGTAACTTCAACTTCAACGTCGATCTGTCAATTTCGACCTTCTTTCCTTATTGACCAATATATAGACACATGTTTCCCGTAGGAAATGTAAAAATATTGGACAAATAACACGGAAGATAGGCTTTTTAAAAAACAAATATATATTATCTTTGCAAATGACATATGAATAAGATTTTCTGGGTTTAGTTGTGTGTTCTGTTTAAACCTGGCTAAAACAAGTACGATACAAGAGGTAAGGGTACATTTTGTATGTTAACTGGAAACAAATACATGTTTTAAGGCCGAGTTATAGTCCACATTATCCTGTTTAATTTCAAAGAACTCAGTGGGCATCCATTATTGCAAATAACTGAAAACAAGTTTAAAGTCAAATATATGCATATTTGATGAGATTGTGTTGAGTCTGCAATACATGTAAATTTCAGAAGACTAGAACAGTCTAACACTACCAGAACAATTTCAATTAATTATATGATACATGCCCCATGGACTAATTTTCTTTTTTAATTTGTGCATGTAACAGGTTATCTGACTGGAAGTGAAGATTATTACACCAAAACAAACTGTCAAGGACAAAACTTTTGTGGAATAGATTTACGAGATAATTTCAAGCCAGTTGTACCCAATAAGGATCAATATTCTACAGAGATGTATAGCAAGCGTGTCATAGACATCGTCAACAACTACAACTCATCCAAGGTAAGGCCACACAATATGTAAATCGGTGACAAAGATACGATCAGAGAGTTACAACTTATGTTTTTGTTAGTACATTATGTTTTGGCCTAAGTTTATCCTAAGTGTATTTATTTGGAAGCAATACTTGAGTTGTGATAATGACATGATCAAATACAAAAGACAAGTTAAAATCGTTCAATAGGTTTGATCTGTGTACAATCAGAGGGTTAATTCTTACTAAAATTCGTCAACACATTACCACAAAAGCCTAGAAACAGAAATGTCAATAAGAAATGACATATTTAATAAAACATACAGGAATTCACCATAACACTGACTCAACAAAACTATAAATGCTCCTTTGACGGCCTCATCAAATATTGTTATTTTTTGGTATAATTCACTTCAAAAGATGACCACCATTGACTCCATTAAATGTTTTACAACTTCCACCTGGTTATTTGTAATTAAACTCGATATAAATTAAGCTCTCATGGACCTGAATAGGGGCTGTTATATGTACATGTTCGATTGATATCGAAATCTCAGTTCCACTCTTATATGGATGCAGACGTCAGTGAATCTGCAAACACATTATTCTATTGATTCGACCACGTAAATAAACTTGATTGACGTTGAACAAGAAAAATGTAACTATAACTATGTAAGCATAGCATTCTAGTCTTTGCCTAGATAATAATGTCATAAGGCGTAAACAATCTATATATGCTGTGAAGATTATGTCCCCGTAATCAGATGCATGAATACAAATGTTTACTATGTTTTCAGCATTCGATGATACAAATATTCGCTGATTAAGTTTCTGTAAGATGGGGAATAGAAATTTAGTTAACTGTTCGAATTTATATATTCTACTGAATACATTCGAAATAAATTCCATAAGATCACTTATCTTATTTGAAGTAAAACCTTTACTGATTTCATCGTTCAAAAACGTTTGCCTGGCACTTCACATGCTTATAAAATATTTCTAATATATCAACAAACGAAAGACTTAAAATATCACTTACAAATATAAGCTCTTCAAAATATCTACTTGAAGCAATATCTTTTTTAATTGAATAGTTCAAACAATGTCTTTTACACGTGCTTACATACTATTTCTGATATCATCTTTATTCAAATGGTGTTAAGATCAACAGATGGAAGACTAGCATCAACATATTTGCTGTAGTGACACCTTTTCACAGTCACCTGAATATGAATCATGATCAGCAGCTGTTTCCTATCGATTCTGATACATTGCTGTGGTTTGTTATGTGTTACTATACATTATAATATGTAGATGTAAATATGCAACTGTAGTTTTCCTGATTTACAGATATTTTTACGTATGCATGAACATATGTTTAGGTAATCTTAATTCAACACTTTTCGCTCTGACCCGGACCACTTATATCAGTATAGTGCGAAGGCTTTACACCAATGTATTTCTAGCATAAAGAAACCAACCTCGTTTCGAAACAGGTATTCTGAAAATAGAAAGTATAAAATGACAGAGTTGAATCTGTATGTCGGTTTAAAAATCCCTTGCATGTTTGGTGAAAAACAAATGGTTTACCCTAAATGCCACTGATTAAACATACAATATAGAAGATAATTAAAATAGGGTCCCACCAAAGCAATGGCCTTCTGCAGGTTGTCATTCCAATGGGACTTTGGAAACAAAACTGCTCCGATAAACCCTGGCAATATTTTACACGTAATTAGTTTTGTTCCCTGCAAATTTACAACATTTTTCGTACGTGTTTCTCATTAACATACTTACCTTCAATCGATTTGCTACTGTGAAGTTCTGTGTGTGTTTTTTGTGGTTATTATAAGTTCTTGTAATTCTCAAGGTCATAGTGATTATATGTGAGATGCGATTGATCATGATAAATCCTCTTTTGATCAGTGCAACATATAGACATTGATGATCTTATGTGACAGGAAAATATAAAATGCAATAACGTTTTGTCATTATTTCCAGCCCATGTTTATGTACCTAGCATTTCAAGCTGTCCACGCACCATTAGAAGTTCCATCCAAATACCAAAAACAATATGCTCATATTAAAAACCACGCCAGGCAAAAATATGCAGGTCAGTAATATAATTTCATAGAAATTGAATAAATTATAAATCGAATCTTAGTTTGCACCACCTTGTGGATGAAACGAAAAGTTAAGTTTGATCCTTTAAAGTATATCGAAAGAATCTGCCAATCGCCTAACGTTAAAATTGACTGGCTTTGAAGTCGGGTGTCGATCCTCCGTAATCTTCAAAGGACAGGTGTTGGCTTGCGATTGGTCAGGGGTTTGTTTTAATCGGGAACAAATCAAATAGATAGTCGAGTGTCTGCATTTTCGCTATGACATATACCAGAGGTGCATAGAGAAAGTGAGCGTAAAACCTCTTAACTCCTGGAGTATCTAGAATATGGTTGTTGATTCCGTCCTTTTTTGATAAGTTTAGCTGTTTATATATTTAGATTGGCCATCTGTTTGTCTAACAAGCATCAAGCTTATCATTATCCATGGTAGCATTGTCTTTTTGTGATTGCATACAGTGCTCCAAGGGAATTCTTTTTTATTTAAAGAATAAAAAGTACTTAAAAGGACGACAACCACATTTAATTATTAACGTTTGCATGTATTAATATACACTTTCTCGAATTTTCATGAATTCAGATTTGTGTCGATATTTTTGGGTGAAACATTTTGTTTACGGTCGTTATTTTTGTATAATTGGCAGGTATGGTGTCAGCCATGGACGAGGCTATCGGGAACATCACAGCAGCATTCCAGGCCAAAGGAATGTGGGATGATACCATCATGGTGTTCTCTACAGGTTTGTATTGTTACATTGTACCTAGGTCAAGGTATACCATTACCAAATAGACCCAAAACCGTTTGCTATATATTTTGTACGTTGGATCGACTATTTTAGCTAAGCGGTGATGTTTTTACAACCCAGATTCCTCGCAAAGTGAAAGTTAAGATTGATAATAGACATTATTGAGATAGAGCAATGGTGGAACAGTTAACGATCTTAATTCGTGGAAGACTTCGGTCTTCAAGAGCTGTTATAGGACATGACACAATATTTTGACTTACAAGAGTAATAAAGTGACAATTATATAAGAAGTATAAATAACACCGTCACTTGTAGAAAATATTGTACTGGCAATGGTGTATTTATTAAGTTGATTTTTCTATTCCCTTTTCCTCTCAAAACGATGAAGTGGTTTTTTTCGAGGTTTCTAAATATTGCCATAACATTTCGCTTTAAAATTATCATCATAATTACAACATTTTCAGACAACGGCGGACAGATATTAAAGGGAGGTAACAACTGGCCCCTAAGGGGCTGGAAAGGATCTCTTTGGGAGGGAGGAATGCATGGAGTTGGATTTGTACATGGGAAAACCCTACAGAAAAAAAGGGGTGTGTCCACTGAACTCATACATGTGACAGACTGGTACCCGACACTGGTGGGACTGGCAGGAGGCTCGCTAAACGGCACCAAACCTCTGGATGGATTTGATCAGTGGAAAACAATCAGGTATCTGTAAATCTGTTTGGATGAAAAATTAAATACCTTGTAAACATAACAAGAAATATCCTCTATTAGTTCACAGTCTACCTGAGTACCAATTAAGTTAATTTTGTTCTCTGTGCGGTTTTTATTTGTATTTGGTGTTTCATGTTGTGTGCGTAATATAAGTCTGTATTTCTCCCAGTAGTGTTGACTAACTATGAAATTAAGCTACTTTGAAATGACAATGTATTTCATGTTTCTGTACTGGTATTGAATATCAGGCCTACTTTCGCAATATATACCTTTGGACCTCTTGTATATTTTCACGAACTTAATGTTTTGAATATTGCGTTTTCTGAAGATTTTTACATAGGCTATTATATCTGTTATAACTGTGACACTCAAATTCCCTTATTTTTTAGCATACCTTAAGATAATAAAAGTATTACCAATAACATATCCATATTATTTCTGGATAACATAGCACTTTGTACAATATGACCTTAAAAGCTTACTTTTATGCAATACCATTGGCGTTGAACACCGGATTGCGCTATATATTTTGGAGTGCATTTGAAATTTCTCTATGTTGGTTTTCTAATACTTACATTCCATTATTTATGAAGGAGCTGTTTCATGAAGTACACTTTTTTATCAGTGAAGGAGCTAAAAGTCCGAGAAAAATGCTGCTACACAACATAGATCCCCTGACCAAGCCTATCGGAGATAAACTGGAGGGGAGTCCGTTTGACAACCGTTATAGGGCCGCTCTTAGGTGGGGAGACTGGAAGGTGATCACGGGAAATCCTGGTATGTCTTTCATTAGAATAGTGCCTAATAGCTCGTACAACCTAGCCTTTCATGTTTTCTCAGAAAGATATTAATTTAAATCAAGTGTTTAAATATCCTTTAATCATTCATCATTCATGTTTGGCTGATTAGTTTTTTTCGTACAAAGCGTACATGTATACAGGAAAAATATTTTGGTACTGATACATAAACTGCCTTACAACCTTTATATTTTCGGACAAATATTGGCAGAACTACTGTCGTTTTTTGTTCAGGTAAAACAGATGTCAAGTATTGCTTACTATGTACCTAGTTTATATAATTACATTTCATATAATGTATCGTATGCGTGTATCTGATAACATAAACTTAATTTCACTGTAGGCAACGGAAGCTGGGTCCCAGAACCGAATGCTTGGAACATCAACAGGAACAATTTTACTTTTGACATGAACGTTTGTTCTTTTGATCCGAAAAAAAACATTTGGCTGTTCAATATAGCTAAGGATCCAGTGGAACGAGCCGACCTTTCAACAAGATACCCCTATATTGTGATGAAGCTGCTGACAAAGCTACAGGAGCTGAATGAGACAGCTGTACCTTGTGTTTATCCGCCCTTTGACCCTAACTCAAACCCTCAATACCATGGGGGCTGGTGGGGACCTTGGGTAAAGTAGGTTATTCTTAGGTCGAGCGGCTTTAAGAGAAATTGAACTGTTGTTAGTATGTGCAGTAATAACTTACTATAGATATTTTACGATAAACTATGGTTGTTTTACAAACAATCATACGAACGTACCAAAATAAACTATGTAAAGCAATAACGTTCAAGCGAACTCAATTCATGGTTAGTAATATTCGTTATAATTAATTGGGGTTTTTCTCTCACAAATGTATAGGTTTAACAATGAGGATTTACTTGTGTTACAAGTAGTATATAATATTTGAAGGTTTAAAAATATTTTTTGTGCTATACATCTTTGATGCCGAACATGGAACTTGGACATGTGATAAATATACTAGTAATTCAATCTCATACGCTATTCTAGGAAATGGGTATACAAGGACATGTCGTAAATGTACAATGCTATCAGAAGTGACACTTACTCAGTAAATGTGTTGGCCGAAATCATTGTTACCATGATTTTAGACAAGAAGGAAGACATTCATATTTTCCAATAACAATTATAACATTTTGATTAGAAAATACATGTAACACCAAGTGTAATTTATCAATATGCTTTAAGTTTGACGAAAGATAAACGAAAAGAGGAAAAAAGCATAACTGAAGATGGCATTTACGAAGTATATTCATTTCTTTTCTTGTGATGGTATTTTGATTAATTTTCTATAATTACTTTTGTAATTAGTAGTATTACATCAAAAGTGTGTAATTTTACGGGTCCGGACAATTGTAAATATATTTCTTATTGGTGAATTCTTTTTTACTTGAAGAGGATATATGTTTCACATTAGGGGAGTTTTGTGGTATTTTTGGTACATAGTTATTCCTATGTTGCAACACAATTCCTTCTTAGATACGAATCTCAACATCCGATAAATATCTGATAATTGGCATGTTGCCATATTTTGCTGTTTTGGGTAATATGAACACCATCTGTGCTGCAGTTGGTCTGACATTATGCTTATTTATCTGTAAATGTTACACATATGGAATAAAACCACAATCTTTAAATATATCAGAATACATTTATGATATTTGTCTTATTCGTGTTTTTGCACTTAGAACATTTCTGACATTTGTCAGGTAAACCCTGAATTTTACTTTGCTCATACGATACCTTACTGTAGTATTGGATATAAATAATATTTCACTGTAGTACATTTGTAGTGACATTTCAAATCTTACCGTTGTATGGTGACAGTATACGACATCTTACCGTAGTGTCAGCTTCACTGTTCACATCTGACTAAAGTATGCTGACATTAGTTTAAACATAATTATTGCCAAAAGTAGACAAGGGATAAGGCACAAGTTATAACAACTTATCAACTTCTCCCATGCTGACATCACATGACATCTTATTATAGTGATTTTAAACCTGACTTCATTTTTAATGTATCTCCACGTTAAACTTTGAACCTCATGCATCACTATTTGTTCGCAGTTTATGTGGGCTATAACTACCGTCACGTAAAACACAATAGGTGAAATGTGTTCAATGGAAAGCTTTAGATTAATTAATAATTTTACAGTAGAAATGTAATTTAATTGTCTAGAACGTTTTGCTGTTGTTGATCTGCTTTGTATAATATTTTTCGTTGTAAATATTCCATTGACAGGGACAGGGACAGGGAGCTAACCAAATGGAAAAAAGAACATTTGTCACAGTTCTGATCTAAAACGAGAAAATATATGTTTCAATAACTGGAACGTAATATGTATGAAAAAGAACAATCATAAAAAGCCCTGGATGGCAAACAAAAGCTTTTAAAGGTTTAATTTTGTTTATTTAAAACCATTTGACAGTTTTTTCATTTGAAAAAAGGTAACAATACACTTCAGTGTTGGAACGGTTTATTATCAGCAGATAAAGTTGTATATTAAAACAATATAGGAGAGGGGCTTTAAATAATAGACATGAAAAGGATTTGTTCATCTGCTTAAAAAGAGACAACTCCAGACAGATCGGTAGTGGCAGAACGCAGTACAGAGATAGTCATGTTCTTGGTTTGATAATTAATAGGTTTCTCTGTATTACAGCTTTTGAAGGTAACTTTTGTTTGAAAGACACTCTAACACACGACATCTAACATATCATTGAAATGCATTTGGTCTTAACTATAGCTTTCTCTAACATCATTTAAACGTAATAATGATAATATACAACATTTATATAGCGCCCTATATAACTCGTAAAATTACTCTAAAGCGCTTTACAACATATGGATAATAGTAATAGTTATAATTGTAAAACAAAAACAAAGGCTTACAATCACTTTTATACGTTTAAGCAAGCAATGTGCACATACACACACACAACATGTAATTGAAAAAATTAAAGGGTCGTATTTACATGACGTCTTTTCAGAGACCCTAAAATGCAGATGTGAAGAAGTGCGTTTTGATGTCCCTCTTGAATTTGGCCAGGATATTTGACTTTCTAATAGCAGATGGTAAGCTCTTCCACAACGTGGCCGAAACCCTCCCAACGCACCGGTTTCCATAGGTCACAGTACGAGAATTTGGGACACACAACAATGATTCTGACTCCGACCGCAGTGATCGTGACGGCTGATACATGATAACAAGCTCCTATTAGGTACTGAGAAACTGTTCTATTCAATGCCTTGTACGTGTACACCAACATTTTGTACTGCGACCTGTATCGTTAAGTGTGTAAAATATGTTTTAATAAAATAGAGACTGTGTAGATGTGTATCTATAGATGATTCTGACACTAATGAACATTTATGATTTCATCTATGAATAACAAAATGGTAAATGGATTATGCCTGATGAAAATAACATAGTCGTTGATTTTGATAAAGATACGATTAGAAATAAACATTTTGCCCTATTCATCAGAGGGAATTGCAATTTTTGCATGGATCAGTGTAAGCCTATTCCCTGTCGCCTACAAATCAGTTTAAAGGGGGAAAACCTGCAATGTGCAAAATATATATATATACAAACGTCAGCTGTTGAGATCATGTCATTTTGCAACGTTCCTCTGCAGGAGAGCACTCCATCACAGCCTGTAAATCATTCATCATAATGGAAGTATGTAGAGAACATAACAACGTAATAAATTGTAAAGATAGCCCGCAATATAATAAAAAAAAGATAAACGATACAATGAAATGAAATAATGACTAATAAATTATAACCATGGCATGAAGCAATAAAAAATGAATCTTTTAATTATGTATTGGAACTTTATTCGTGTAAAACGACAATTTTCATGCAACGATGAAATGTAAAAAAAACAAATAAAAAAAAAAACATTTTTACTCAAGTGCGTAAGTATGTGACGTCAAGAACTTGTCCAAGGCGTGACGTCACAATCGAAACAATTTAAACTTTCAAACAATCACAGGGCTGATAGGTCATATTACATGTGTTAGTACGCACAGAAACATAACATGGATATATTCACTGGATAACACAGCACATTATGTTATAAAATAGTATTCCCAATGCCAATATTATATTTTTTATTATGAAACATTACAATGTAATATAAAGTGCTACATAGTAATGTTATATGGACTGATACATGCATAGATATATATCAACGACATAGAGAACTGTTTGTCAAAATGTTTCAGAGATCAAGAAAGCAAAAACAGATACAATTGCTTCCATTAATTACAACTCACAGACAAATTCTAATATTCGAAAACTGTAATAGAAATAAATTCCAATGATGTTGATTAAATCATATTTTATTTGCAAATATACAAATGGGATCAGAACCAAGTTTAAAAACTTATAATCCGTCTTTTCCCATAAAACATACATGATGAAATATACATATGACCGCAAATTACTAAGGAAATACAATGATGATGAAAAATGTCAAAACTTACATATAAGATAAAATTTACAATATACATATCGTATCATATAGTGACTGTACCCGCATGTCTATATAAAATAAAATGCATGTCCATATAACAATAGAGTGTTACATATATATAATTCATGGTCATGTATATAATAGAGTGTTATATTTATATAATACATGTCTATATAACAATAGAGTGGTATATGTATAATGCATGTTTAAATGCTTACTGATCGATTGATGACACGATAGATTTATAATGCCTAAAAAGGTTCAGTTTATGATATAGTGAGTATAAGTGATGCATATGTGTACATACATTTAATAATAGAACAACTAACATAATAGTTAGCATTGTAATGACCAATTGACAAAGTAGACCGCACACCGCTTGACACATACTGGATCTCTCTACATATGTTGCACCGCACCATGTAATGTCTATACTTTCGTCGGGTATGTACCACACCACAGTTCATGCTTGTAAATGGTGTGGAATAATATAGCAATGTAACTGGACACCATAAGGATATGAGATATGACTTTATTTACAGGATAATTATTAAATTGCAAAAATGAAGCGAAATAAAAGTATTGACGTTTATATTCCCGTTTTGTTCAAGTTGATGACAATTCACAATTATGTAGTATATATATATACGTTTACTTTTAACACGTCTATGTAAATGACAGTAATCGTGAGATTTATTATAGATGGTATCCCCCGAAACAGTATTCATTGTACAGTACATAAGGAAATACCATAATGTTACTATGCATGGTTCGTCATTATTGTACACATGATTCAGAACGCCAAACACTTTGACTGAAATGAAGGCATTTCATTGTTGCGGGACTTTTATACAGTATACATATTGCACACAACAAACAGGTCTTGAAAGTGCTATCATACACTTTCTGAACGAATCAGTGTCATAAAATACACTGTCTGAGCTAAATTTTATGACAAATAAATATGATTTATATATCGAACGTGGCATGTCGATTTCAAACACCTCTAGTCACATATTCTTGACTATATATGTAGATCAAAGTTAGCCATCGGATATCGCGGTATTTGTATACCATAGAATCACACATACATTGTAAACGTAATGGCGGTTTTTTTTCTTAATCGCACGTGCGTTTTCCAAGACCATACCAGTCAGATATATCATAAACTAAACGTTGTATGATATGTTATTAACTGAGTGTTTGCATACTTAAACCGGTAGCTATGACTGACAAAGATTTGATGCACTTTTTTTGTATATATGCATGTTTGTTCTTGCAGATTTTAGTACGAATGAACATACATTTCTAGCTTAGAAAAATAAGTGTTATTCGACTGTTTCATTTTATCCATGGCCCCCAGTATCCACCATGTAGCTTGGGATCAGCCCGTTTGTCCACAGGAGGGTAACTACATGGAACAGCCGTGGAATTGGCTTCATGAAGCTTTCTTAACATCAACATAACAATCTTGGGGAGTTTCTCGTGTAAATCCACCCTCTCCTCTGGATCTTCAGAAATATCAAACAACCAAATATTCTTTTTGGGGTTACCCGCATCGATATCTAGCTGGGGCCGATGAGAGGAGCCGGGTGGAGGTATCCAGCTGCCATTACCTGTAACAGTAAATCATAAACATTACAGTATTGTCAAAATAGCCTTCAGCATATACATTGTACAATTTCGGTTACCTGTAAGGGGAAAATAACGCGAAGGATTATTCTGTATTTACTACTATTATACCTGGTATATTTCATTGCAAAATCATCATGGTTTACTTAGAATTACATTTAGTATCAAAAAAAATATAATTTACCTGAACATAAAATACTGTAACGTATCTGAAATAGCGTCTTATCTATTTAGGAAATCAATTCCATTCCTTTTACAATGAATAAATATACATTAAATATAATCAAATAATAATATCAATTTGATATGCGGATTTCATAATGTTCAGTTGCCCTATCAGACAGTTACTATTGGTCATATGCCACTTTGTTAACGCTTAAAATGCCTGCGTGCCTGTGCATGTTCTGGAGACGTATTCGAGTGCTATTCTATAGCGGGAACGTGCATCAAAAGGCAGTTTCACAACAATAGCATCCCTCTTGAATGTAACAGCAACACACTTGAACACCTACCCAGTCCATTTTGTATTCAACCTAGGTAACTGGATTTGTACAAAATGTGGTACATCACTCGAATACTAAATAGTAGTAAACAGTTAATTTTTCGCCTCAAAACAAACTAAATGTCAATACATCACCTGAATATGAACTAAATGATAGTCTTCAAACATTGATAAGGTATCCGTTGTGGTAATTACCTGAATATGCTGTAATAAAAAGAGAGAAAAAAGAATATGAGAAAGACACTGTAACAACGTAATTGCACATACTTATATTTTAATTCCATATCCAAAAACTGTATATATTTATTCATGAGCAAGATTTTGCAAAGGATTTACAATTTAAGGTTGTACAGAAAAAGCCTCTTAGAAATGTGACGACCCTACTAAAATATCTGTAAGGCACAAACATTTATTGTTAGTGACGAACTAATCAGCCGGTAATAAGACATGACCTGTCGACAGACCAAAATCAAGGGAAACAAATCTTCAACTCCTCAAAAACGAAGGCGAAACTGGGTGTTCCGGGATGGTTGGCATTGCTAAATATGCTAATAGTAGGGAGGTTTGTACGACATTATCGATATAAGACAAAAAAGAAAAATTTGGTATATACTAAAATTATACATTTAAACCAAGGCATGATGGCGACTGTAATATTTCCTAAGCGTAGATTGAAGAATATCGTTTAAAGAAACCCTGGTTATTTTAGGCGGGTAATTCTCAATATTGCATACGGTCTGGTTTTCCGTTATTCTAGTTAGCAAATTCCTGGTCTCAGATTCGCCTATATATAGCATATCGGGCCAATATGTTTCAATTGTGTATTATACGTAACCATATCGACCTCTTGTTTCTAAATTTAGATCCGGATATTTCGTTCTGTTAACTACCCCTTGCATCTCACAACTTGTCTTATACCTCATATTATTTAAAGAAATTATATTGAATACAAAAGTGAATGATTTTTGACTCTGTTACGCTGATAGAGTAATATCGACCTCGGCCTGCGTCCTCACTTAATATTACTCTCTCAGGTCCATATTGGTCTCCATACAATTGCATTATGCATAATTATTATCATAACATGATTGTGTTTTAAATTGCTATCAATCAATAGTAATTCATTTATGTCTCAACTATAGACATTAAATTTTTAGAATTCATCGATCCGAGCGACGACATAGACAGATTGTTTTAATAATTTCATCATGTTTTGTTGATATTAACTAACACAATCACTTTCACGTTAAAGTGTCATTCATATAATTATTTATTCATTATTTTAAATTGTGTATGAGGCCTTCAAAAGGCTTTACTTTTGTTTAAATACAAAGCCAGAGTGCTGAATTATTGCGGTAGTTTTAAATTTCCAGTTTTTAGTGGATGAACCGATGATGTTTAAAGGTCGACAATGCCTATAACGTACTATCATTAGGTATTCTAAATTGTAAAAACTCACACAATGTTAAATATTGCACTTAAAATCCATTTTAATATTCAATATCTTTTACATTTATAAATATGGTTAATAGTGAGCTGAAAAATCATAGGTGTAAGCACAAATCGCATCAGTGTCAATATCGTCCATGTGCTATTTAGGGAAGAATGGCAGACTTTAAACGCAGAAGGGCATGCATAAAAGATGACCAGGGTCAGGACGTACAAAATGGAATGATGCGTGGAAGAGTCACAACAAATATTGAGGAAATCGCACATTCTTATGAATAAATCACTTTTTAGAGAGCATTGCCAAAACAGTGAAGTTGCGAGATGCAAACCAGTTTAAAACAAAAACATATATTCTTATGAATAAATCACTTTTTAGAGAGCATTGCCAAAACAGTGAAGTGCTAGATGCGATAACAAAATACGATAAACTACCAAAACCACACGGTACATTATATAAAATGAAAGGCGCATGAGATTGCTGCAAAAAGTAAGCATAGCTTCAAATTGCTTCCCAACTACTTTCCTTTGTGTGTGACCTTGCTCTCTCAGACTTATTTCAAAAGCAGAACATTTGTGGCCAGCTATGCTCTTGGGTCCCAATACATTAGTCTATCAATCAAGACTACTTTAAAACTAGGACAACGCTGAATCACGGTCACTCGTGACTTCAATGAAAAATGACGACGGAAATAATGCGGTTGTGCAGCCGTAAAGGTCAATTCTTTAATGTAATCCCTCGCAAAATACACATCCATACTCGGCTCTACTTTCTAAATTACAGATTTCATACCTGGTGTTCCAGTTATAATCTTCCAATTTTTCCACCTCAGTGCAGCTCTGTAGCGGTTATCAAACGGGCTCCCCATCAGCTTATCTCCGACTGGGTCTGACAAAGGGTCTATGTTATGTAGGAGAGTATCTCTAGGACTAGCGGATCCTATACTGTACAACAAAAGCGTTCATCGCAAATTGAAATACTTTGTAATGCCTAATGTCCAATCATATAATATTTGAAAGAAAGGTCTTTTATCAAGATAAACAGATCATGTGTTCATTTGCGAACTGTTCAATGTATAAAATAGTAATAGGGTCTTTATGCTACCACGCTATTACTTTTCCAATTCACAAATCAATGTTTATGTGTAATAGAAGTGGCCTATATATATTTACATGTTATATTATGGTGTTTTTAATGTATATTGTACGGATATAAATGCTTATCACACTTCTATCGCCTATCTTTAACATTAACATTTTAGATAGCGATTTAAACTTTTTAAACGATTTCATTATTAATAAATTGTAATTGCAAACATATTTTAACCAGAAGCCATCCTACGACAGCACTTTGTCAAATAGAAACAATACACATGTCGCAGTGTCCAAAGTCACATAAAACACTTTCATACAAATTTGAGCGAAATCGAGCAATATCTAAATTTCAACCAATACGAAGTCAGTATAAGGTGGTCCTTTTGTCCAATAACATATACATGCTGCAATAGGTTTCATAGCGTGTATCGAAAATATCACAAAATTTAAAGCTCAAAATGTCTCATCCAATCAGAAACCACGGCACTCATGTTTGATAACCGACTAGATAACTAAACACTTATGTACATGTACATATATAGGCCTACCAATGTTCATGTAAAGATTCATTAGAATAAGGTGTATAGTTTCTGATAAACTTTTTAACTAGTATTTAATGCTACTGTCTTCTATATTTCCACAGACATTACCTTATTGTGTTCCATTGGTCGAATCCGTCTAAAGGCCGAGTTCCTTTTAGTGATCCACCTGCAAGTCCGACTAAAGTTGGATACCAGTCTGATACGTGGATAAGTTCTTTTGATATTGTGCCTTTGTTTTTCAATTTTTGACCATGAACAAACCCTACACCACGCACTCCTCCCTCCCACAAGGAACTTTTCCAGCCCCTTAAGGGCCAGTTATTGCCTCCCAAATCTACCCTTCCTCCATTGTCTGAAAAAGTAATTAATTTTGTTAGTATCTTTTTCAATTGTACTCATCTTCTCAGTGATTATCATATTATAAAAGGAACGAATAATGTAAATATTTTTTTAATCTTGTTGATACCAAATACATTTAAGTTTTTCACTTTCTTTTCCTTGCAAAACTTGAAGATAAGTGTAACTAGTACAGTTATCAAGTTTATCTGAATCTAAAATAAATTGTTTTATAACACTCTATTATATAAGTGAAAACATCATTCTAATAAATCAGAATTGTTTACACATTTTGTCTTTTCTCATTGATAATTTGGATATATGTTTTCGACCAATTAAAAAGGTATGATTTCAAACCTGTTGAGAAAACCAAAATTGTATTATCCCACATCCCATTGGCCTTGAGTGCTGTCGTGATGTTCCCAACCGACTCGTCCATAGCGGCCACCATACCTTTCAAACATAACCAATAACGCATCAAAATAGAATACATGATTGTCCTGTGCAAAACGTCATTTGATTTAATTTAAAATATCGGCATCAGCATCCGAATAAGGATGTTTGTTATTCTAGGGTATGATTTATTTAAGGCTAAAAAACAAAACGACAAAATATAAACCGAACGCTTCAAGTATTGACTGTTTGGTTAATATGTAAATCAAGTGAGTTGGCAACTGTGTTTTTATAAGTTTATTGACACAGTTGTGATTTGACAGATAACTGACCTACCTGCATAGATTGTCCTGTTGGCGTCAGGAATATTAGAATAAGGGTCAGAATATTTTCTTGGCACCTGGAGAGGACCATGCACGGCTTGAAACGCTAAATACAGGAACATAGGCTGTGGAAAGGAAACGGTAGAAAAATACAATAAAATGAAAATCAATGGCGAAAGAAAGGAAGTCGTTATAGACCTTATTCAAGTCAAATTCTTCATTATTCGGTGTTCTTTGACATAATTTAGGATCAGACAACCCCGAATCAGGGATCACGCTTATTGACCTTTTAGATCTAGCCAAACAGTGAGAAGGATTCAAAATTAACGGTTTTGTAAAATGCATAGCCATTATGCTGAGAATCAATAAAGTTTTACATTTTGATGCAAAAAAAGCAAAAATTGAAACTCGATGAACGTAAACTAGACAAAGTAGCCTTATCAACATTGATAAATTGCTAGATTGCTTGGTTTTACGCCCGCTTCACTACCGAGTAGTTCGGCTATCCAGCAGACGAACTTATCAACAGGATGTCACAGGTTATCATTTTCATTTTTTTCAAATCTCATGTTCACAGTTTGAGGTGAAAACCTGCTGCCGTGTCGCCATTTAAACACCCCAGATACATATTAACATGAATTTGCGGCAAAAGTTAACTTTCATGTTAAATCATCTCTTGTTTATGACAGTTATCCTAAGGGTACTTATTGTTTGTTTGTTTGAATTATTGATCTTACCTTTGTCGACTGGTGATTGCGGACAAGGTCCGTAACACGTTTAGTATACAGGTGTGTCGAGTATTCCATGGGGACAGGGACAACAGTGTCATGATTATCGCGGAAGTCATACCCACAGAAATCATAACAATACGTTTTGTTGTAATGGTCTGCTTGTCCTGCTAAGATACCTGTGTAGAAAACATACCAAGCATCATGTTAATATATTTTTCTGATATTAACGTTAATTCATATGTCAATAAAACATGAACAGTAGCAACATAATGCAGTAAGGAAATCTCATGAATATATATAATATTGTACTTTTTCAAAACATTATTTCAATTATCATTAATGAATGAACTTTTATCAACTATCTATTCTGTGTTTCACCTGAATTACAATTGGCTGTGTACTTATGTTATTGGGTCTTCACTCCATAATAAATTATACTGCACATAACAGCAATATTTCAGTGTTACGTTGTATACAAAAACATAACACTACGATAACACTGCAAGTAATTACTGGAACACTTCAATAGTTCTGATTATGACCACTTAGGTGAATAAACTATGAGCTTGCTAGCAAGTATGTATTGTTTTGTGTGTCGGAAAAACATACTTATCGACATCTCAACATTAATTTTCTCTGATATTAGCGTTGCTATATTGGTCCCGCAATGAGCAGTGTGGAATATAACGTTAGCAATGCCAATCTGATTTGCAATTTAGATCCCAATCTCAATCAATTGCTGCTGATGATGTTTTTTATGGACAAGACATACATGTGTAAGTCAGACTACTAACTAGTCTACCAGATTTAAAATATACCGTAAAATGAATCAAATCCTCTGTTGATCGGCAGATACTCCTCCTTGTAAAAGCCCAGGTGCCACTTTCCTACCATGTGTGTAGAATACCCTGCCTCCCGCATCTTGTCAGGAAGTGTGGGACTATCGCGGGGGAGAGCATTTGGCATGTTTCCCGCAATGTGTCTGTGTTGTAACCCTGTGTGTGTCTATAAATAGAGAAGAACAATGTAGGCGTTATAACAATACGCTTAAAATGAACAGGGTTGTCTGTTCTTACAGAAAGACACATACGAGAATAGAATTTTTTGTCATCACAATTAAAGATTTACTAATAACCGTAAAGTCTTTTTTGTTGCATGTGCAGTTTGTACAATTACTTGACATTTTCGCCAACATACAAAACGTCATATTTCATTGGTCGAACACTCGTGATAGACTTTACTTGATGAAACATTTCTACTTAACCGTTGGAATAAGAGTAAATATCACCTGGTATCTACCGGACATGAGTTGACTCCTGGACGGAGTACATATTGGCTGTACATAATAGTTCTCCAGTCGTACTCCCTCCTCCGCTAGCCGGTCTAGATTAGGTGTCTTAATTTCTGATCCATGATATCCTATATCATTATATCCGTAATCGTCAGCAAAGATGAAGAGTATATGAGGCTTTTTAGTACTAGTGACCTCTTCTTCGAACTCCTACAAAATACAGGCTTGCATTAATTGGTTTGCATAAAGGATTATGAATCTTAGACTCACACATGGGATTTCACCTATATCATTTGGTAATAGATACAGCATGGCAAAAATGAATTTCACTGCACCATAAAGCTGTTTTGTCCTTCTAGGAATCATCGGTGATACTAGGGGCCGATCAAATACCGTGCCGCCTGCCTTCAATTTTGTTATGACATATTCCAGGGGTGCAGAGAGCGAAATTGAGCGTGACCCCTGGAGTATCGAGGATGAGCTTGTGGACGAGGCGGATTTTATAACCTACATGCATTTTATTCCTTCCCAGTCCTCTCTACATATGCTAAGGGAACTTTCTTTCCTCACATTTCTATATGGACGAAGATGAATGCTTACACACGAAACCTTAACCAGTTGATATAGTGCATCTCTGCATACGATGAAAAAATGCCATCCACACATGCTCAGCTCATGTATATCTTTTCTCCTTAATAACGGTATGGGCTTCGAAAACGGTTTACTTAGAACTCTCAAAAAGCCCTTATAATCTTACAAGCTCAGACGATCTTCTCTGTTTCCTTGATATGGGCTAGTAACGTATGGTATTCGGGTGGCGCTGTGGATGACGCACTCGTCTTTCATTCAGGCTGTCGGGATTCGTCTCCCCGATCGGATGTGAAAGGGGTATGGGTCATCTGTCCGACCACGTGATTTTCTAGAGTACTCCCTTTTTCTCCCATATTAAGGCCCCCAGCACTAACATTCGGGCCAACAAAACTTAATCATATAAGTTGAAACAATTTGTTTCAAAATTGTTGTAAAATAAATCATGTTTATACAACTTTCTTCACTTTTATCCTTGCAAAGGCTGTGGACATCATGTACCCACATGCCTCCACATGTACATTAACCTGGCTCTCCACGTCCCACTTACATTTACATGAACAGGGAACAGGGAACATTTGTGGTGTCCAAAGCCCATGGTGTCCAGTCTAGGTAAGATTTATCATTGGTGTTAAGGAAATATCTTATACGAATTGACTCACCAGCGTATCTTCGCTCTGTACTCACCAGCGTATCTTCGCTGTCGATCGGCAATGATGTGGTAATGTCATTATTCCCTCTAAACCAGATTATGTATAGGATCACCATCAATACGCTTAAACACAGCATAAACCTCCCAGCGTTGTTCATTCTCCTTATTAGCATATCTATCAACAAACCAGCCAACCACAGTGTAAAGCATTATTCATCCTCATAACATCGATTATTAGCAGAAGGTTTTTTAGTTTATGTAAAATACGCCGATGTTAAAGAAGCAGACATGTCGAGTTTAACATATGTACCATTAACTCTGTAACTCTATCAGCTGATCTACCTGTGCAATAAAAAGAATTGTGTATTTCGATTCGTAGGACACAAATTTTACATATACAATATTAATATACGTGTACCTCAATTTAATAGCTGCGTGTCTGATTGGGTGATACTGGTAACATGGCGGGGTAATAAAACAGTATGTCGCCCTCATGCGCTCAAGTTTTCCCAATCATATTTCCCTTTTTCGGAGCCTGTCTAGAGAAATCAACAAGAACCACTACAACCTTGTTCCGAATGACGGAAGCAGACGACAACAATGGCAGGTCCACCTGATTATAAGCGCGAGTAAAACATGATCATTCAAGGAGAAACAAATAATCGCGTTTCCTACGTGAAAGGCAGTAAATGTATAATAACAGACGTTTATGATTATTTCTTATATTTCGAATTTTATGGTAGGTTCGACAAATATTTCATTATGATAAAAAGCGGTTTGACATTCAAATCAAGTATTGTACCCCCATGGAACCGTTCAAAGTAAATGTTGCATTGATAAAGAGTCATGACTTTAACGTTAGATTTCTGCAACGTAGTCATAATTCTAACTATTTTGATAACATAATGTACACTTACGGACTTACCGAATGTACGCATTATACTGAGCGTTCGTCATCCTTAATATTATTAAATAACGATTTTATAATAGATCGGTCCTTGACCAACCAGTAAGAAACCATTGTCCCATCTATACAACTCTTAATATTGCTCAACATTCAACCGACTCGTACCAAGGAAAATTTGGCTTTATAAGCATGGACATTTTGATAAACTAAAAGAACTATTAGAAATGTCGGATTGGTCTCAAGTATATAATGCTAATATCGATCTAGCATGCAAGCGTCTAACTGACTTCATCGATTCCGCTTCTTCTTCGGCTATCCCTAACAAAACGGTCATTATGAGAAAACGTGATCATCCATGGATGAACAAAAAAATCAGAAAATTAATATCAAAACGTAAAAAAAATCACAATAAGGCTAAACTTACTGATAGCCAATCAGACAGTCCATTTTCAGACAAACCCGTAACAAGTGTGTAAATGCCATTAGACAATCTAAAGAATCTTATTTTAATGGTTTGTCATCAAAATGATCTGATTTAAGACAATGCAACAAGTCATGGTGGATAACTGTAAAACTCTTCATGAACAATAGTGGTAAATGTGGAAAAATACCAACGATTTTAAATGATAATGTCTATTACGAAAGTGATGTTGATAAAGCTTATGTTTTTAATTTATATTTTTCAAGTCAATCCATTGTGGATAATTCAATGGTTATGCTTCCTCCACTAATAGAATCCCCTAATCGTATATGTCTGAGTAATATAAATATATCATGTACTGATGTTAAGGATGCCTTATTCAATTTGAAAACTGGTAAAGCTGTAGGACCAGATCTTATAGTCCCATAGTGCTCAAGGAAGCCGCAACATCGCTTGCTGAGCCATTATCTATTTTTGTTAATAAATCCTTATCACAAGGAATATTTCCATCATCGTGGAAAGAAGCAAATGTTTTACCTATATATAAAAAGATAGCCGTAATGATGTTAAAGACTATCGACCAATTTCACTTTTAAGTATAATTGGTAAAGTGTTAGAGAGGTGCGTTTATAAACATGTTCATAATTTTCTTCGTGATTTGAAAGTAATAACAAAATATCAATCAGGTTTTACACCAGGCGATTCCTTTATTAACCAATTAAGTATTTCCAACGATTTTATTAATGCATTAGATTCAGGTAAAGAAATAAGGGTAGTATTTTGTGACATCAGCAAAGCATTTGACAGGGTTTGGTACAAAGGGCTGTTGTATAAATTATCAAAAATTGGAATAACTGGATCGCTGTTAAAATGGTTCGAAAGCTACTTAACGAATAGAAAACAAAGACTTATAATCAATAATATTCAACGATATCAAATCTTTTATCAAACTATTTGCTGATGATACTACTCTGTACATGATAGTTGAAAACCCTTTAGAAACAAACAACGTAATGGAGTCAGATCTACTAAAAATTACTGAATAGTCCAAATCTTCATTAGTTGATTTCAATCCTAACCGGAAAGTGTGACCTTTAGTAGAAAAAGAAACAGTCAACCCCATCCAATCTTACATATGTGCAATGAAGAAATATCAAAGGTACTGTTGCATAAACATCTTGGAGTTCTTTTTTCGAATAATTGCATAGGGTTGAACATGTTAAAGCAACGTCTAGATTAAATATTATGCGATCTCTAAAATTTAAACTCGACAGGCAAATATTACAAAATATATATTTTTCGTTAATTAGACCACTTGTAGAATATGCTGATACTGTCTGGGATAGCATTCCCGAAGAATATATTTCTAAATTAGAGAATGTGAATTTGGAAGCTGCTAGGATTGTTTCAGGTGCTACTAAACTTGTAAGCTTAGACAAACTATATACAGAACTTTGATGGAATAAATTAATAGACCGTAGACTTAATCATAAATTGTTAAAATTCCATAAAATGCTTTATCAAAATACTCCAGAGTACCTGTATAATCTCTTACCTAATTCAGTTAGTGATGTTCATAGTTATAATACCAGACTTTCTGACCCATCATGTCTGACACCTATTCTTTGTAAAACAAATATTTATCTAAATGCATTTCTACCTTCTGCTGTAAACAATTGGAATTCTCTTCCATTACGTATTAGAAATAACCCTACCATTTCCCATTTAAAAGCCTTTCTGAAATCTAATAGTAAATCATGTCCACCTTCATACTACTCTAATGGTTCACGCCTGGGTCAAATCTACCACGCAAGACTGCATATGTCATGTAGCTCCCTAAAAGAACACTTGTTTACGAAAAACATCATACCATCCCCGAATTGTTCCTGCGGTGCCATTGAGAACTCAACACATACAGCACTAAGACAGCTTCATATTCTGAGTTTGCCGTATCAACTTTCTACTAATCTTTTACTCTTTGGTGATGACTCTCTAGTCTAACCCATCAAGAAAACACTACAATTTCCTAGCCGTCCAAAATTATATACTCAAAACTGAAAGATTTCAAATAAACGAATAGTCCTTTAACAATTTCATTTTTATAATATATATATATGTATGTTGTGTTGCATTCGTTTTACTACTATGTTTTAAAATGCATTTTGATTTATATGCTTATTCAGTGATTTTGCCATTGCATTTTCTTTATACCATATTATATCACTAACTGGCCATGATTATGATAGTTTGATAAAGTGATGTGTTACATTGAAAGAGCAGGACGTGCCAGAGACGAGGCGGGAAAGTGTTTTATGGACTTATATTTGATAAGTTTGATGGCTAGTATGTGAATTGCAACGTTTTTAACAATCATGGCGGTGCTTTGTGACAAACTAATTTTGTCAATAGTTGATTTAGTGGTGATTTATTCTATGTAACTTGTATATACATTTTAACCTTAATCGAGTGTCCATTTACAGCACTGCTGAAATTTTCATCTACTATTGCATAGTTATATTTTTACAGAACCGTGTTCCACATACTCATTGCAATAGAGCAATATGATATTAGCATCTGATGATCATATGTATATTAATATATTATTCATTCCTGGTTTCCACTGCATATCCAATCCACTACCCACTCCCCTATTCCCGTAATTAGTATATTGTACATTTTATTCTATGTATGTAGCTAGTGTTGAAAAGTTGATTATTAAGCAGGTAACAAATTTACATAAGTGTCACGACACTTGTTTTTGTTTCCTTTTCTGTTCTATAAAACATGTACTTCGATGTATTGTCAAACAATATTTGAATAAAACAAAGTTTAAACCAAAACGTCATGAACACTATGGCGGAGAATCGTTCTGAGAGTTTTTATCATATGAATACCGTGTATAATGCAGCGTCATAAAGCCGTGTGTAATAGCACTCCGGAAAAACAATCAATGTGACGTCACTTCATTGTGAAGCGGACGATATTTTCATCGTTACAGAGGCGGCCAAGTGCAAAATATTCGTTTCAAATCACAATTATACAGTTTACTTTGTATTATATGATAAAAAGAATATGTCATTCGTTTCTCTTCATATTTTATTTATGATACTCGTTTTGGATTTAGATCCTCCATATCTCAGACGATATTACCTGTGAAGTTGTGAATACTAAAATTGTTCGTTTTTTTTGTACCATACGTTATGAATTAAATTATTAATTCTGATAATGCTCATAATCTTCCTTGTGAAATCGTTGGCACCTTCCGGGACTGACTCGTTGAAGACGTGACATTATTTGGATACGTACACCAGATTACAAGTAAAATAATGCTGTAATTATACCTAGTTTGGTATTGTCTTGTTTTCTAAATACAATGCAATATTCTTTCTACATGCAAGTTCATTGAGAAATTCGCTTTCATATAAGATCATATTTAGTGATCAGCAGAAAGCTTTTGATAGAATGGAATGGATTATGATACTTCATTATTTCAATTCTTAATTTTTTTAAAACTACTAGTAAGTAATGCAAAAAAACATGTATCGAAACAATTTGTTTCGTTTCCAAATACTTCCAACTATTAAGGTTAGCTCGATACGGATGCCAGCTGGCTCCGACCATGTTTATACTTCAAGGAAAACCACTGCTTGTGTGTGAGGCAAAGCAGACATATAAGGGATAAAACTACCAAATCACTAAAGGGGTTTGCCAAGGAATCAATTACAAAATATATAAAAAAAAAAAAAAACATATATGAGAAAGCATCAGAATCGCAAATTCTCTTTGATAATTTTGATAATGTTTTGATCAATCTGATTAAAATCATCTGTTACATGGCTCGGGGTAGTACGAAGCCATGTAACATTTGATTTTAATCAGATTGTGTTTTGAAAAAACATATTTTATTGATTGAATTAATCAAAGGGATCGGGCAATTTTTTTACAGATTATAAAAGTCCAGCCATATAACAACATAATATAAATCCATAGATATCATACTTTTTATTATAAAATACTTTGATGAGTTTACTATTTTATTTACCAGATAGATGATGGTAACTGGACAGTCGGGAGGTGGAAGGTCTCTCAATGTAGACAGGTTATTGTTCACTCATCATTTATCCTCACATTATAGAAAGGTAGAAGCAGTTTGGTCATTATGTATAAAGAACAGTGTACAGCATGACTATTGCTGAAACAGTTTGGAACAAGTATTTTTGATTTTTCTGAAAGTGACAGTTGGACACAGGATAAGCATAAGCACAGCCTCAAATATTACAAGTAATGAAATAGTTAACTGTACAGGTACTCCTGGAGTATCTATATAGTAATTCATTATCGAGAAAACTGTAAAAGAAAAGTGCTTCATATATCCAAATATAACATAACAAATCATAAAGCTAACAAGGCTGATTGAAGGTAAAAAAATCAAAGCATGTATGCTTTTTACCACAACGTTGTCTCTAACATTTTCTTTATAACAGTGTCTAAATGAATGTTTCTAGATGTTTCAGGAATGCATTCACGCGGTTATTATTTAATTATTTGTTCTAATGAAGACTGTGTGTGAGCCCGAAAATCCTGTATAAAAATGTCACTTTTCAGCCAAACATAACAATAGTTAAACAAACAGTTTCTTCAATGACCATATTTTAAAATGCTATTGTTGCAAGATGACCAACTGCTTCTGTTTTGTGATGCAGAATGAGGAATCTATAACCGGCAGATGTATAACTTGTATTGTTCAATCCGGGAATATCACCGATAGTAAAGGTGTATTGCTGTGTGTACGTACATGTCTGTATGGTGTACACTCCATAATGTGTTTACATGTATGTGTGTGTAGGTGTATCGATCGTTAGTATTATGATATGCTATATAATGGTGTACATATACGGATATGTAGGTATGTGTGTAAGGTGAAGATTTGACATGTTGTATAGACTTTGTAAATACTCACAAAAAGAGACACGTTTATGCCTATAACGCGTTTATTATACTATGCTTTAGAACACTTTAATAACCGATTAACTTACATTTAAAGATCCAGTACAGCATGCAGTTTGATTGAATAACATACATTTTGTAATTGCAGTACATGTAAATATTTTACATTTTGTACATAGTTATATATTTTGATACAAATGAATCTAAAAATGAAATAGAAAAGAAAACTTACGGTTAGCATGTGCCTTTACAGGACCGGAACCGATCATGTATAACTAAAATATGCCGTGTTATATAATAAAACGCCACATTCTATAACTACCGCAAAGTAAGGTTTGTATGAACTCTAGCACTTACACCTTTAACTACATTTTTTTTTGAAACATTTAAAGAATAATGCAGAAAATTACAAGCGAACGATATGTGTGTTGATTGAGGCTTTAAATCTCTTTATAAATGTATCCATAAGCTTTTGTTGTCGAAATAACTGAACCTAAAAAGTGAAATCATAGTTACACTTATAGTAACTCACAAGAAAGGACAAAATACATATATTTTGTTGTAGTATACATGAAGTTCTGTATTTATATATTCATTTTGTTGAAAATGACTCCATACGTGATACAAGTTTATCTGTTGCAGATCTGAATTGGATATATTCCCAGTCGATGCATGATTGCGTTAAGCCATTGATGGAGTGTAACACGTGTGTATCGGAGGGGAATTGTGCAGCAGTTAGACCCTCAGTACACTAACAAACGTGACACACTGTGTACAAAGTTAGTAGCCTGAGTTACCTCTGACCCTGACACCAGACTTGTATGTCAAATGCCTAAGTCTGGTGTCAGCGCCAGAGGAAACACGGGCTACAAAGTCAGGGACATTGGATTTTCTGGCTGTTTATTTGTTCATTTGTTTATATAGATGCAACATTGGAAGATAATACACACTTTATACAACAGTACATACATTGCATCAAAGACATTCACGTTTCATTATAAAGCTTTTGATAGTGTTTGGAAAATAGGCCTTTGGAACAAACTTTTGGTTAATAATGTAGATGGAAAATGTTTCCGAATTATTACAAATATGTACAATGACATTAAGGCTAGAGTGATGAAAGATGGCGTATCTGGGGTCCGGCAAAGCGATAATCTTTCCCCGTTTTTATTTTCACTTTTTCTATTTTATGAAATCACGTGACTGTAAAGGTCTGTCTAATATAAACGACCAGCTAGAATAGGATTTACATGTATATATGAAGCTTTATGTTATGCTATTCCGTCTTTGCGCATTGCAGAGTTATCTTCTCTTGTGAGCAGGTATTGATTGTTACGTCATTGGTTTGTGTGAGAAAATTACGTCGTTTCCTCAAAAATTGATGACGTTACTCTCACAAACAAATGACGTAACAATCAATACCTGCTCACAAGAGCAGATAACTCTGCAATACGCAAAGACGGAATACGCTGATGACACTATACTACTATCAGACACGGCAGAGGATTTGCAAAAGCAATTAGATGTATTTTTCGAATAAATATCAGCAAAAGTAAAATCATGGTATTTGGTAGAGAAAAAAAATCTTGATTGCCTTAATTTTACATACAACGGTACAGTTATAGGAATAGCTAAGGATTTTAAATATCTTGGGGTTTATTTTACTAAAACTGGTTTGACACAGTTTAATATTAAACAACTGTATGGTAAAGGTTTAAAAGCAATGTATAGTGCTATTTCCAAATGTAGGGATCATAATTTGTCAATAGATTGTCAACTTGATGTAGGGATCATAATTTGTCAATAGATTGTCAACTTGATATATTTGACAAAGCCATCAAACCTATTGTTTTATATGGATGTGAAGTTTGGGGTTTCAGTATCTATAAACTTATCGAACATTTACATTTAAAATTTTGCAAACACATACTTAATGTTAAAACGTCTACACCGAACTTATGATATACGGAGAACTTGGAAGGTTTCCGCTAGATATCAATGTCAAAGTAAGAATGGT